CATGAAAGTGAGGTGGGCTTGAGCAAGAGAGGCTAAGAGACGAACAGTCTTGTATTACACATCACCGCTCTATTAGAAAGATGTGATTAGCAGTTTTAAAATATTTTGCTAAGCACTAAAATTATGAAATTTAGTTGTGCAGTTATAGGAGCACTGTTGGTAACTGTATTCAGAGTTAAAAAGCTTGAGAAAATGGAGAGATGGGTCTAAGGATGAATGCTGTAAAAAAATGTCTACATCATCATCATCATGTAGCAGGTCCTTTGCAGAACGTCGCTCTCATCACAGTCTGCCTGAAAGAAACTCGGTCTCTTGCCAGTTCTCCTGCCTCATATACTTTCATACTCAAGGAGTCACTTATATCCTGTGCCCATCTTCGTGTCGGTCGGCCCCTGCCCCTCCTTTCTGGTACCAAATGTCTACATAAACAGAAAAAAAAAATCTGGTACAGGCAAGACATGCATGCCCTTGTTTTGCGCTGTGTAAAGTCACTGAAGTCACTAAGATTATATAGAAAATTATGCGTGAAGCATAACATCTTCTTTCATTCACCAGCGGGAACAATTTCTGGATGTTTGTCCACTTCTAGACTATGTTCTTGATTAAAATTTGTGTGTGCACATCCATTTTACAAATTGGTTCCTTGCCTCTCAGGCAGATGCACTCTGACGTCGAAGTATGGACGCCTAATTAGTCAACTTTAATGACAAGCTTGTTAGAGGAAGTGGGTCTATCTCTCCCCCCCCCCCCCCCCCACCAAATGTGGGCCCAAGAACGCGCACAGAGATAAAGCACAAAATGAGTTACAATGTAAGTTAATTTCGTAATGTTGCCCCAAAAGTTTGCAAGAAAAAAGACGTGCCATCATTTTCTGTTCACCCCTCATAGTGTTGGTATGGTTGTGTACAGATAACTTGAATGTGTCAGTACTGCAGTTGTATATTAGCCTACATTTGTTTTCTGTGAACATTTAAGTACTTATATCTGTAGACAAAACCAGAATTTGACAGATTTGTACAGTGTATAAATTATGATTTTTCAGTACACATTTCATAATCAGGATACACAATATGTTTGTACTTTACCAAAATCCAGTTTTGTATAAGCTTTCAGAGGGATATATATCCACGAAGAGATTTTAGTTTTTTGCATGTTTTATATATATTGAGAGTGAGAAGCTACAAAATTCATGATCTGTCAGAATCACTACTAATACTAATAGACTGCAGTGGTTGGGTATATAGAGAGAATGGTAAATAACAGAGATAAAATGTGTACACACGAGTTGAATGCCACAAGGCAAACCAAGATGGCGGAGAGATAATATACAGGCAGACATACAAACACCTGGAGTCACCAACTGGAATGAGAAGACCAGCCAGAGGTCAATGCAAGTGGGTGACATCTGCGGCAATGAACCTCAAGGGCTCAGCATACCGAAGAAGGTGGTATTTTATGCCAACCTAATGTTTTTGGTCCTGGCCACTTGACTTCATACGGACACTGGGAACAGTCCCGGGTATGTTACTGCAACCCCTATACACCAGCACTGCAGCAGATTTATTTTCATGGCTTCCATCTGTTGGTCGGTAGTCCATAGCATTCTTTTACAAAACCAGATCTCTGCAGTTTTTGTATCATTTCATAGAATACATACAACCCCTCACCCCAAAGAACACCAGCACCTGCTTCTTGGATGTATTTCTCTTCCTACTGACTGTCATGTGGATGCATCAAGTTTGAGAGTAAGTGTTCATAGAACCCTTTACCCCACAGAACACAAGCACCTGCTTCTTGGATGTATCTTCCTACTGACTGCCATGCAGATGCATCAAGTTTTGAGAGTAAATGTACATAGGACCCCTCACCCCAAAGAACACAAGCACCTGGTTCGTCTAGAATCTGACACTGACTGAAATAAACAAAAAAGACACAAACAAGAGGTTGCACAATTTATCGCTTGGCAAATTCCACTGAGGGAGCCATTGTGGTGTAGCAGCTAGACGACTGTCTGTGGACCTGAAGGTTGTTTTGTTCTGCCTCGAGCCAGATTTGTTTTAACATCACCTTGGTTCAGAGGTTGACCCAGGCTAAAAATGGGTACTAGGTAAAGTCCTGAGAAGTCAAGGTGGCAGGCGTGATGTTAACCATATCGCCCAACGAGTGCCAATGTGTCTATAAAATACAGGTCTAGCCCTTTAAATAGCCAACACACATGAGGGCATGGACAAGGTGCTTGCCTGATATTTGGCTGTCTGCTCTGCATACAAGGACCACTGAATCAAATAAAGCAGGGAAATGAAGCTAGTGAAAAATACTGGGCTATAAATTATTCTTCTGGGCTTGTTCTTTAAAACGCGGCTGACACAGTGTGTTGTAGTTTACAGCCAGCCTGTGATAACTGCGCACTTCGACCCAACATTCAATTTCGGCAAACTCCTAAATCAACTTGCACGACACCACGCTTGTAGCAATCGGTCTCCCCCCACCCCCCACCCCCCCCAATAAAGTACAAAATGGGGCCAAAGAACCCACACAGAAAGTGTGCAGTCTGCTGTTTGTGTCTTTGTTGTTCAAATTTACAAATGGGGGACAATGCTTTGATTGATTGAATAGTTTAAGTCTGTTTAGTTATGATGATGTACACATTTTTTTTTGGTCAGGACTCGTTTCATGTCGAAGGTTCATCTGTAGTTGATTTTTACATGGTGTGATAGTGCATGTTAGATTTGTCAGATGAATCAAGTCTTGATGACAAACTCACTATTACTACTAGCAAACATTGTGATTAAAGGCTGGAAACTGAACACATCTTGTTTGCTGGTGTGTATTTAATCCATGCCTTAGTTTGTATCAACAGTTACCCAAAAGGCATTGCATCAACACAAGCTAAGCAATTAGTAAAAGACAGGAAGCCACATCCAACTCCTCACTGCAATGCTTTACGGCAGTGATTCCCAAACTGGGAGACACGAAATATTCGAAGATACACAATTTTTTTTTTAAACCTCTTAAATACGAATAGTCATACTTTTACTTAGGTTATGGCGCCGTGGTAAAATTTTCATTGAAAAAAGGTGCTGCAAACAGTTTGGGAAACACTGCTTTAAGGCATAAGCACTAGAACAAAAGAAGAAGAATTAAGGCATTATTTCTGCTACAACCCTGAGTAGGGTGAATTTTGTTGCTGGTGTCACTGGCGTGTAGCTCTTGAACTGACTCAACTGGAATTTTCTGGGAATAAAAGGCTGTAAGGCAACTTGTCCCCCAACTCTTCACTGAGCTGCAGTCTAGAATATTTGAGGGAGCCCTGGTAGCTCTGTAGCTAGACGCTCACCTGCCAAACTAAGGTTCAAATCCACACTCAGTAAGTTCTTGGGGAAGTCTCGGCTCCCAGGTCAATCCAGCATAAAACAAGCACCAGGCATTATCCTAGGAAGTAAAGGCAGCGAGCCACCAACTGCCAATTAGCTGATAAAAATGAGTCTAGTATCATGTGCCTGCTGCGCCACTGGCATAAAAAAAAAGTTCCTTGACTGACTAGAATATCTGAAGATCAACAATCCCCATCCCCAACAGCAATTTCTAGCACAGGACTTGTCAACTTGGTCCAGCAAACAGATTTCTATCTGTAGGATGTACCAGTTTAAAACAACAACAATATCTAGCACAGGACTACCTTGTCAACTTGACCCAGCAGATTTCTATCTGTAGGATGTACCAGTTTAAAACAACAACAATATCTAGCACAGGACTACAGATTTCTTTCTGTAGGATTTACCAGTTTAAAACAACAACAATATCTAGCACAGGACTACAGATTTCTTTCTGTAGGATTTACCAGTTTAAAACAACAACAATATCTAGCACAGGACTGCAAACAGATTTCTATCTGTAGGATGTACCAGTTTAAAACAACGGCATTATCTAGCACAGGACTACAAACAGATTTCTATCTGTAGGATTTACCAGTTTAAAACAACAACAATATCTAGCACAGGTAAACAGATTTCTATCTGTAGGATGTACCAGTTTAAAACAACAACCAAGCCCTCCAACTGACACGGATTTCATACACAGAAGTGTACAACCATTAACTGTACCCATTAAGTAAGTATGGGAGCGGTGGAGGCACACAGTTGCAAGCAAGCTTGCCTGCTGGCACAGTGATCATATGTTTAGATCACATTTGAGGCGGGGACTTTTTCTCCCAGGTCCGCCTAGCCTAAAAAATGTGCACAAGGAAACTTGCTAGAAAATACATGCAGCCGACATGATAGTGACAATATCAATAATGAGCATTCAATTCAAAGCTTTTAAAACAAAGATTATGCTGCAAATGTATGTAAAAAAAAAAAAATTGGATTAAACTGGATAAGGACACAAAAGAAGTTGCTACAGATTATAAATCTGATGATGACTGGAAGTTTCCTGAAGTTATCAGCATGTCTTCTACTAAAGGTTGATACTTAAATCTTTGAGTCCCAGGGAACGCATCATACATTCATAGATTCATACCTAGAAGCCCAATGAATGCCGACGTTGATGCGTTGATTTTACGTCTGTCATGACTACCCCTTGGGACTCTGATGCTAAACCCCCTGGGACTCAAAGAGTTAAAGCTTCCCATTTCTTTATATATGAATTTAAAAAAGTATGGCCTCTTTTGCCCCAGACAAAAGAACAGGACTATCTCAAATGCAGAAGGCACACGTTGTCTTGAATTTGACAATGGCCTCAACTTCTGCCGAAAGAATTCTGATTATAAATTTCCTTAACATGAAACATACTGCGGATGAATAAACATTTCTTCAAATGCATTTAGCATTCTCTTGCATTGATGGAAAAATTTCCTCAGAAATATGGATAGGGAGATTCACAAAAGAATGTTGTTGAAATGAAGCAATGAAGGTTCTCCTTGAAACATTAACATTTTGTTCATTTCCTCATCAGTCAGTAAATGTCCCACAATACTGTAAATGAAAACAAGTATGCCATATTTACTTGGCACTTTGGGTCAGTTTATTTTTGAGGAAGGTAAACAGTTGATACATGAGCTCACGAGACTGCCCACCCAGGTATTCTAGCTCAAGCTGAACTTGGTCATCCTTCCGCTTCAGCCTCATCACACATTTGAGGACATATTCCTTTGGGGATGAATCTGCAGAACCATCTTCAGCTTTTGATTCAGAACTAACTGCTGGCTGGTTTTGGCCATTGATACTGGATTGTTCAGAACTAACTACTGGCTGGATGTGGCCACTGATACTGGACGGTTCTGTAGCCTTAAATCTCTCTCCATCAACTGCTGTCATGGAGACATCTGATGGAACTGTTTCTACTGGCTGGTTATGGCTTTCAACACTGTATGGTTCTGTAGCCTCAAGTTTGTCTCTGTCAAGTGCAATCAAAGAAACATCTGATGGAGCTGTTTTTTCAGGAGATCTTGTGACCGTCTGTTCATTTCTTTCTGGTTCTGTTTTCTCAGTCATTTCACTTTCTGCTGTGTCTTGCCGAGGGCGTTTAAAAGATTCTGCAGCATCAATAACTGACTGTTCAGCCGGCCTCTTTCTACTTTGAATATCACTATCATACTTTACATCACTGTCCTTGTCTAAATGGGCATTATCAATTGACAGCACATCTTCAGGTCTACTAGGTTTAGAAGAAGGATCTTCTCTGCTGGACACAGGCACATGTTCTCCATTTTTTACTGGACTATCTTTGGGAGCTGGGTTTTGAACCAGTGTTCCATGTTCAGCTTTCTCTTGCTGCTGAGTGCGCATCTGTTGCCTGCGAAGTCTGCGCTGGTGGCACCATGTATTCTCTGCTGCCGTGAGGGTAATGCTGGTGTAAGACTTGGCTTTCTTACCTTGAAAACAATGCACCTGTGAAAAAACACAAGATATATATTCAAAGGGTTACTATTACAAGAGAACAAAATTAAACTCTCAGACCAGACAAGAGCAAATTACCATTATTAGGTTCGGCAGAAACGCTTGGACCGAAATTTTCATGCTCAGAACTCACTGTAAACTCAAGAGCACACCTTCAGTTTATTACTGTGACCTCTTAGAAAGTGTGTACCGCTTCATGTGGAATATGTCACAGGGTTTTTAACTCAGCTGAGAAAGTAATGGCAAACTACTGAAAGTAAAACTTCAAGTGAAAGTAAGTACTGCACTATTCTACTTCTCCTTCCTTTAAAATAAAACAAAATCCCTTCTTCAGCATTCTGAGTCCCCTTGAGGTTCAGCAGATATCCCAACTCCATGAAGCTCTCTGAGCCCCCTTGAGGTTCCACAGATATACCACCATGTTCTCTGACTGAGCTCTCTTGAGGTTCCGCAGATATCCACGAAGCTCTCTGACTGAGCCCCCTTGAGGTTCCACAGATATCCCACTTCCTTGAAGCTCTCTGACTGAGTCCCCTTGAGGTTCCGCCTCAGATATCCCACCTCCATGAAGCTCTCTATGCCCCCTTAAGGTTCTGCAGATATCCCACCTCCATGAAGCTCTCTGACTGAGCTCCCTTAAGGTTCTGCAGATATCCCACCTCCATGAAGCTCTCTGACTGAGCCCCCTTAAGGTTCTGCAGATATCCCACCTACATGAAGCTCTCTGAGTCCCCTTGAGGTTCCGCCTCAAATATCCCACCTCCATGAAGCTCTCTATGCCCCCTTGAGGTTCCGCCTCAAATATCCCACCTCCATGAAGCTCTCTGACTGTGCCCCCTTAAGGTTCTGCAGATATCCCACCTCCATTAAGCTCTCTGTCTGTGCCCCCTTGAGGTTCCACAGATATCCCACCATGTTCTATGACTGAGCTCTCTTGAGGTTATGCAGATATCCCACTCGATGAAGCTCTCTGACTGAGCCCCCTTGAGGTTCCGCAGATATCCCACTTCCTTGAAGCTCTCTGACTGAGTTCCCTTGAGGTTCCGCAGATATCCCACTCGATGAAGCTCTCTGACTGAGCCCCCTTGAGGTTCCGCAGATATCCCACCATGCTCTCTGACTGAGTTCCCTTGAGGTTCCGCAGATATCCCACTCGATGAAGCTCTCTGACTGAGCCCCCTTGAGGTTCCGCAGATATCCCACCATGCTCTCTGACTGAGTTCCCTTGAGGTTCCGCAGATATCCCACCATGCTCTCTGACAGTTCCCCCTTAAGGTTCTGCAGATATCCCACCTCCATGAAGCTCTCTGACTGAGCTCCCTTGAGGTTCCGCAGATATCCCACTCGATGAAGCTCTCTGACTGAGCCCCCTTAAGGTTCTGCAGATATCCATGAAGCTCTCTGACTGAGCTCCCTTGAGGTTCCGCAGATATCCCACTCCATGAAGCTCTCTGACTGAGCCCCCTTGAGGTTCTGCAGATATCCATGAAGCTCTCTGACAGTTCCCCCTTAAGGTTCTGCAGATATCCCACCTCCATGAAGCTCTCTGACTGAGCTCCCTTGAGGTTCCGCAGATATCCCACTCGATGAAGCTCTCTGACTGAGCCCCCTTGAGGTTCCACAGATATCCATGAAGCTCTCTGACTGTGCCCCCTTAAGGTTCTGCAGATATCTTACCTCCATGAAGTTCTCTAAGCTTCCCCGTCCAGATGGTGACTCCAAGTGTTTCTTCACTGTCTAAACCATCGTCACAAAAAACAGCAATGTTGCATCTTTCCCTGCTTGATACTTCAAACAGGATCAAACAAATAAAAGAAACAGAATGCCAAACAAAAGCCACACCTTGACAGACTCCAGTAACTGTTTCAAATAAGCTGCTACTTCATGAACCTTGTAATCCACACCTCCTGCACCTTTTGGCACCATGTACTGGATTGGAGGCTTCTCTTTGCGGGACTCAAATTCTGAGCGCTGCGTTTGAAAAATAAAAAAGATGAAACAACTACTTATTGCCTAACATTAAAAACAACAGTTTTTATATCTTCCAGATGGACATTCCTCTTTTGCTGCCTCTTATTTACCAAAGAAGCATAGGCTCTCAACCAACTCAAGCCTTTAACCTTTAGCCCTGGAGAGAGGGTGATGGAAGGTGCAGTTTCCAGAAAGTGAGGCAGAGGCAGACCTTAAAAATATGGATAGAAGACAGTAACGATGCACTGGCTAGACATATTTTATGCACACAGGGATGAACTGACTAGAGAAAGAGGGACTTGAATATATGCTGCAGCAAGGGCAACATTTTGTAAGCACCTGCGGAATGAGGATGATTGTAATGTTGTGAATTCCCGGGGAAACCCCAGAGAGTTCCCGATGGAGAGAAAAAGGTCGGAGGACCCGTGAGAGAAGAGAAAAACGGGAGAAGTGAGTCTCGTGTGTCTCATGGTGAACGAAGTGAGAGACACAAGAAAAGCATGAGACGTGAACGGAAGACGTGAACCGAGAGACTGAAGTAAGACAGTTGAAGTTCGGCCCTGACTGAGAGAGGACGAATGAACGCCTGAGATAAATGATTTGTTAAGTGAACGTTATATTTCAATAGGAGGACTGAATGTTTTTTTTCCATACGTCGTAATGTCAGATATCAGAGTTCGTGAAGTAGGAATGGTTCGAGTGATAAATTTTCCTGTAGTGTGTGGGAAAGTCCGACCAGGTCGAGCAGCCAAGCGAGTGAGCACGACATGAATTTGTTTGCGATAACTGGCGATTCAACGAAATAAAAGCAAAGAACTCAATATTCGTTCATGCTGTGTCGTTTCAACTCACTGTTCGTCTGAAAGCAATGTAAACAACACATACCCCTAGATGAGAACATTACAATGATGATGATGTGTCCAGTAACACACAGGCAAGATGTACACTGGGAGCTGCCAGGGTGTAGCGACGAGATGCTCACCTGCAGATCAAAGGCAGTAGGTTCGAGTCCTTACTGAGCTTAACTTTTTTTGGGTCAAAAATGACCTTGGCTCTTAGTCAGACCCAGCCTTTTAGTAAGTACCAGGTATAGTCCGGGGAAGTAAAGGTGGCCAGCACAATGTAGATGAAATCACCCACCGAGCGCCGATTGGTCTATAAAATATGTCTAGCCCTATATGCCCAATACACCTGAAGTCGTGGAAAAGTGTCCTTGACTTACTTCTAAGATGTACATTACCAACAACAAAGAAAATGTCATGACAGATTTCAGGGTGCTTTCGCAATATCTCCCCCCCCCCCCCCCCCGCCGGATGACACCACAGGACAGTCCAGTATTTTCAAGGGTGGTAAGAGCGGGTGTCCCAGCTTTCTGATGCCTTTAACTACCCCAAAACTGAGCATAACCCCAACCCAGCTACGTCCCATGAGAGAGTGCAGCCTAGGTCCCACGAATGCATGCAGTCTACCACCCCCTAAAATATTCAACTGTCTGTTTGGGGGGAGATATTGGGATAGAACCGATTTTAGTTGGCAGTAGTGGGAAATAAAGTCTGGATTTTATTAGATAACTCAAAGAGGCAGAAACGATCCCTTTTACGGCAGTGGCATCTCGGGCATATGATGCTACGCTAACATTTTTACAGACTAACTGGCCCTCAGTGGGTGTTTGGCCACTACTACGGTACAGGACCTTGTTACACACCTTCAGGGGTATTGGGACCTATACTGTATAGACCAATTAGATCTCTATGTGTGATCTGACGAACATCCCACCAGTCACCTTTACGAAAAAGTCTGGCTCCATTAAGGATCTGAACCCACAACTCAGATCTGCAAGCTAGCATCTAGCCACTATATCATTTCGACTCCATGAGGTAACTACTGCTGGTAGGTAAAGGAAGCAAGGAACAGTTACAATGTAATCTACAAGCATGTCCTAAAAGATGAATACGGAGGGTTGGCATGGGACTGGCTACCCTGTGTCACAAAGAGCTGAAAATCAATTATGTGTGAGCTTGAAGAAGTCTGTTGCATTATTAGGAGATTAAAGGCAGAAGAATGATTAGAAATGATGATAAGAATGCATGTACAGATCAAAATCATGCTTAGGCTATAAAAACAATCCTACAAGATCACAACGAGCCTAGTGTGTTAGGCCCTCCAATTCCTCTATCCATTACATAGACTGAATCCCTGTGTGAGTACCAGGTCCCCATTGTGGGGAAAACAAGAACAGGCCCACTGCCTTCTCAACACACATGTCGTAAGAGTCGACTAACGGAAGCTTCCTTCAAGGCCTGAGGGGCGAGGAACTAACAGTCGGCATACAAAAGAGTCAGACCTGTAAAACTTGTAACACTCGGGTTCTGGAACAGGACTAGAGTCCAGAAGTGGATGAACAACTAGATCTTTCTGCCGCACAACCGGTAAATTCGTAGAGGAAAAGGAAGCACAGACTGGACTGAAGTGTATGGCTCTCAAATTCTGCTAGATCACAAGGTATGTGAAGTGCTATGCTCTCAACTCTGTTAAACCCCATTGTGAACTGTTATGTATTAAACCCTTAAACTAAATCTCCAACCTCTATTAATTATAAACTGCAATTCTTGTGGTGGACTGTTTGTGTTGGCACTCCTGACAGCTACCTTGTGTATTTAATGCATGTGTTTGCTATTGGCCTTGCCAAGACCGCAGTATATTTTTCAGTTTCCCAATGAACAGTGATGTACATTCTGTGTGGTTGTTGATGGCATAGAAACACTGTAATTATGGGGACAACCCATTTGCCGTGATGTTGGAACTGTGACCGACTGATCAAAATGCATAATTACTTTGAGTAGTTCTAAAGACCCTATTGTACTTACAGGGAATGTGACAGAACTGTCATAGGTCCAGGCAATGCCCCACCTCATGGTTTTCCCTTGGCAGAACTCAGTTGTGGAGTACTTTGCAACCTGAAGACAAACATTCACAGTAAGACAAACCTTACCAGTGAGATGAACCTTCACAGTGAGACAAACTTTCACATTGAGACAAACCTTCGCAGTGAGACACATCTTCATAGTGAGACAAACCTTCCCAGTGAGGCAAACCTTCACTGTGAGGCAGCCCTTCCCAGGGTGAGACAAACCTTCCCAGTGAGACAAACCTTCCCAGTGAGACAAACCTTCCCAGGGAGACAAATCTTCCCATTGAGACAAACCCTCCCAGTGAGTCAAACCTTTCCAGTGAGACAAACCTTTCAGTGAGACAAACCTTCCCAGTGAGACAAACATTCACATTAAGAGTCTGGTGTGTATTTATTAAAGTTCACTATAAGTCAACCATCTCTTTACATACCAGTGGCACATCCGATGGATGAGCTTAGACTGACATTTGTACAGACCAAGTGGCTTCCAATGGGTGATACCGTATCCAATCTGGCCGCCTTTACCTGGTCACGCTGGTCGCCTTCATCTGATACCCATCTAAGGTTAGGAGCTTTGGTCATGTCTGAAAATGATCCAGCCCATGCAGATCTGAACCCACAAACTTCAGATTCACAGGTGAGCGTCTAGCCTACAACACCTTGGCGGCCCCCATGTGTAACTGCATTACTTCATGAGTACTGTTGTGTGGTTTAGAGATACTAACATAGTTTTGCAAATTCAGTCCTCAATGTACCAAGGAACAATCATATTGCAGGGTTTCATTTCTGCCATAGCCTTTTAGAAAAAGACTTCTCTGTGGTTTTCACAGTTAGTGGTATGAGAGGTACACCAGGGAAAAGATTACAGTTTTACCACAATTTTTTTCTAAAGATGGATGTAAAGCAACCGACCTTCATTACGGAGACAGCCAGAATTCTAATGACTTCTGATCACATGTAACTCGCTTCCTGTGGACACTGGATGAAAGATAAAAGCATAAATGCAGGGAAAAAAAGTGGAGCATAAAGAGGGAAAACTAGCAAGAGACTTGCCTTCTGATGAAGAAGCTCTGCTTTCAATGGAGCCAGACTGGATTTCTTTCCCACCATGCTCGTGAATACTCTGTTGAAAACATTTCAGAATTTGATTAGGAGGTGTATAGGTTTTAAATTTCCTGCACTTAAACTCATATGTAATACATTAACTTGTATTCTTCCTGAGAGAGACTGAGAACCCATCAGAGAAATGGTAGCAGAACACTATGCACTGATTATTTAGATAATGTATAATGTGGTTGAGTCATCTAATGAGAACAAAACCGCAAAACTAGCCCTACATGCCCACACTTTTGAAAAATGGGTTTTGAGCAAAGGGAAAACAAAGGTGCAAATCATCCAACATCTTCTTCTTCACTTCCTGTGATTGAATACACTCATTGGGGCCTTTAAAAATGTATCGGGTGACTCTATCACTGAGGCTACAGGTAAAATATTACATCAACTTGCTTTTTAAAAAAGCCACCAAGGAATGAACAAATTAACTTCATTTTAAAAGGGTAATAAATTGGGGGAAGAGGAGACACACACACACACCCCTACAATCGCAATAAATATTTTTTATTACTATATTCAGGTTCTAGTCTATTAAACATTGTGAGGGAACACATAAGACCAATAGAATTTGACTACCTAGACATAACAATACATTTGCATTTACAAGGCTGGGTCAAAACTGGAAGCATAAGGAACAGCAAAAACCAGAGTTTACCTAATCTTGTCTCTCAAAACTGTGGACTCATCTATCATCTGTCGCACAAAGCCCACCTCCCCGCCCTGAGCTATACACTCCTGGGGGCTGGCCGTGGACAAGGTGCTGGCCTCGGGTCTGTCTGCAGATCTTGTGTTTGTGATTGCTTGGGCTTCCATGTGATCAGCAAAGAATGGTGGGTTGCACATGCAGAAATCAAACTGGGTTCTCACTGTGAAGGTCTGCAGTGGAGCTATTAAAATGTCTTCAGCTGACACTTTTTTTACTGTGGACAAAACAAAAACCCACAGAAACATTAGAAAACATAAACATCAGAGAATTAAAAAAAAAGGTTTAATGTCAACAGGATTGACTTTTTACACAAGTTTTTTTTTTTTTTTTTTTAATTCCACATGGCTTGGTCTTGCTCAGAAGGATAACTACCTAGCTACCTGTTAAAGTCATCATACAAAGCGGAAACTCCATAAATTCAGCAGCTATCAATTGAAATCTTATAAATATTGTAAATATGAACTCGTCGAAACAATCTTTGAAATTAAATACAATACGTGTTGCTGCTCCGTAAGTTGCAAAACACACATGGTGTTTCCACTAAAACAATTGTTATCTGAGCGTAAATTTGTTAGCCAAGGCCGAAAAAACATAGGAAAAATATCTGTTAGTCAGAAAATGTGTCAGCCTAGTCACTCATTAGCTAAGGCAGTGTTTCTCAAACTTTATTTTTGCGCGGCACCCTTGTTGGCAAATTTGTTTACGCTGCACACTTACCCTTAAAGTGGTTTTAATACTTAGGAAGAGAAAAAAACACAGTGCAAATTTAATGCTTTAATGTGATCAATGAAACTGTTTGGATGATTTTCATTATTTCCTTTATGTTTATGGGAAGTTCAGTTAATTGTACCTTCAAATCACTTGAATGTTGCTCCTGTGCATTTTGTTTTCAAGTAAGCCTATTTGAGAATACACTGCAGCCTTGCCAACACCATTGTTTTCTGAATACACCTGCATCCAGAACTCTTCTTGGCTTCCTTTCGTGGTATTTGTGTTTTAAACTGCTGTCTTCGTTGATCTCAAGCAGATTTTTAAAACGTCTTAGATTACTGCCACGGCACCCTTGGCTAACGCTTGCGGCACCTAGTATGAAAACCGCTGGGCTAAGGTATCACTGTATATGAAAGAGACCAGCAGTGTTCTTTAGGTATGTTATGAGAAAAGAACACTTTTGTATGTATGCAGGTATGGATGGATCTGATGAATCAAATCCTAAAATCTACTCTCCAACTTTAGCTTCTTCTTAAAGTCCGTGCTGTGTGGCATTCGTAATGTCTATCTGTCTTGTGTGCTTTTAATCAACTCTGACACAGATGATCCTCCATGCCATGATGTCAAACTGTCCAGCATCTTTCGTCTTGATCTCCCTCTGCCTCTCCTCCCCTCAAACTTTCTTATTTCGTACTCCAGCTTTCTCCTTCTCATTATATGATCAAAGAGTGCAGACTGTCTCCCTCTGGTTTGGGTAATCAGTTCTCTTCATGAGTCAGTTTATTTCAAAATATCTTTATTACTCTTTTTATCTGTCCAAGGTATTCTCACCATTCATCTATAAAACAACATCTCTGCCGCTTCCAAAACAGTTTTTACTAATTACTTATTTACCAATTGTCCATGATTCACTTCCGCACATCAAGATTTGATTTATACAGCTTTTAAGAATTCTCTTTCTCATCTCAACTGACAAAGAAAGACTGCAAAAAATCTTCACTGTGTAAAGTGCTGCCCTTTGCTTGCAGCATTTTACAAAATGAAGAAGTCCAACTTACCATAGATAAACTCTTGGAATCCATTAGCTGCAACATTTTTATTTGCATAGAAAACATTTTCTGGGTCGGCCTCAGTGGCAAGGAAGTGCCACTTGTTCATCTTTGCAGCCAACAATGGATACACACAGCTGGCCCCAGTCCCTGGAGAACATTTGAAACAAGTCTCTACTCATGAATAAGAAAGATCTTGGCTGCTGCATGACATCACAATGTAAAATGAAACAGAAAAGGTATGTGATGAAACTACTTCTTCTTCTTCACATTCACCAACTGAAAACTCTGGCGTAAAGTTTTGATTGGTCACCCACTTCTGGACTTTAGTCTTGTTGCAGAACTTGAGTTCTGCGTGCCATCCATTTTTTTTTAAAAAGCAAGCTTATGTGTATGCAGGCTACTGGTTACTTGCCTCTCAGGCAGATCCACTGTGACTTCAAAGAAAACATCCCTAATTAGTCGACTTTTATGACATGCTTGTTGGGGAGTAGTAGGTCAATCCCCCCCCCCCCTCTTCCTGCCATAATGGAACCCCAGAACCCACACAAGGAATCTGGTGAAACAAATTATAAAGAACAATATTTAAAGAGTAGAAAACTAATACAAAATGTAACTTTAAGGACAAGTAACTACTAAAAAATGTGACATTCAAGGCGAGGTAACTATTCGTGATAGGATGCAGAGCTATTAAATAATAGCTTTATGTCATCTAAGTTGGTCCAGTTATTTTTCTTTCTTTTTCTCAAGATTTATTCGCAGCTGGATTCTGCAGTTAAAGTTTTATACTGGGGGACGCAGGACTCACTAACTTTTCATATATGTCTATCATGATATACATGGTAGATTTCAGTATTACTATCCCTCGCTTCTGTTAATGTTCTAAACCCCGGGTGCCACACCAGTGCAATAAGTGTTCCAATGTGTTTGCACAATGTGATGAACATCGAAGAAGAATCAAAAGATCAATACATAAACATTGCATACCATGAAGTTGGAGTACATCTGCCTGAGATGTAGGGAACAAGAATGGCACACAAATAAGCCAGTAAAACAGGTGTACACACAAATAAGCCAGTAAAATGGGTGTACAAACAAAACTCAGTTCCTGGTACAAGGCCAAAGTTCAAATGGGTGAGCAACCAGCACCTTCCGCCAGAATTCACAGCCGGCGAACACAAAGAAGAAGAAAGAGGAGATAAAAATGGCAATTGCTATCACATTCATCAAGTACCAACAATAAAATAAAAAACCTAGCTTCCTGACTATATAATTACAAATTGTGTGATTTGACAGTATCTGATTTAGAATATGAAAAATTCCTTTGCTGCTAGAAGATCAAGACATGGTTTACAAGATTTCTAAAAACTCGAGGAAACATTACCAACACAGACATAGTCCCAACGGGATTGTACATGCTGTGCTCAATCATGACCTGGCTACATTCTGAATGGATATCGCTCAGTGCAACATAGTCTAGTGTTACTGTAACAGATTCATTGAACATGCTAAGAAAGGTAAAGAAAGGCATGCTCTGAGCTCAGGGCTGAAGCTCCCTGGCAGTTGGTATCCTTTAGATCTTTTCTCTGGGGAATACAGGTGTGTTGAGAAATGAACAGGCAGTTGGTGTCCTTTAGATCTTTTCTCTGGGGAATACAGGTGTGTTGAGAAATGAACAGGCAGTTGGTGTCCTTTAGATCTTTTCTCTGGGGAATACAGGTGTGTTGAGAAATGAACAGGCAGAAAGATTGGCTGTGTTTGCAACAGTAGGTGGTCAAACTGATGTATGACAAGTTAGATGTTGTTAAGGTCATTTGGGATAAGATGAACAATCCAGAGGAACAAACAGATCATCACTGTCTGGACAGAACGGTTGAAAGGAGAAGGGACTTACCACACACACACTAAACTACTACACAATTGGCACTTCAAAACTCAAAGACTCACCAACATCGATTCCCCAGATGTTTTCATTAGTGCCCACAATATCCTCCAACCAGTGAATGTAGTTCAGGCGGAGTGGTAAGGTTGGAACTAAACGATCTGCTGGCAGCTCAACAGACAAACCAAAGTCTTCTTTCAGCAGGCATGTGGTTAGTGCTCGCAGTGCATCAGCATTTTTGAAATCTAAGATCACTTTACCGCTGGCATCCTGGGTTGTGTGAGCTCGGAAATCTGGGTACTTCAGTGCTAAATGAAGGAAACTGGGTTTGGAGTTTTTGTACCGGTTTCGTGGGTGCATGAATTTGTTCAGAGACATAGCGGTGTAAGGCTACAAATCTGATAGGAAGACAAAGACCAACATGTAACAATCAAATCATCATCACTGTCATGATCTCCTTCCATACTAGTTTGTACTGTGTGCTGTTGCTCGGACTACTATAGTCACATCTATCCACAACCTTCTGTCTCGCGTAATTTTAATCTTCTTCTTCTTCTTAGTGTTCACCAGCTGTAAACTTTAGGATACAAAAACGTTAGCAAGGACACTGTTGAATTAAAAACTAGAAGAGTTTATTCAAAAACACCTTGTCTTATGATTTAATATTAACTCTTTATGGCCCAAGCAACAGTGTGAGCGTTGTTTGAGAAGTTCTGTTTTTCATAAACAATGGTGTCATATTTGATCGTGTGTCCGGTACATTTTGCTCCGCACACGCCCCCGTACTAGTTTCTAATGTTCGGAGGTACGATTAAACTGTTCAGGGAAAGTCACTCTGCCGAAATCCTTTTAGTTTTATTTCCTAGCCTAAACCAAACGTGTGTAATTTGATAGAATTAACAGCGAAATTTTGTTCAACAGTGCATTTTCTAAGTTCGTTTTCGAATGCCATGAATACCAATGTTCCAACCACAAGTACAGGTCGCAGAATGCGTCTTTCTGGGACCGAAGCTCTGAAATTGTTTCAGTCAGATGATTTTAATTCTGATAATAATGAAAATTTAGATTTCTCATAAAGTGATTCGGACGGTGAATTTTCACCAGTGAAGCTGAGCGATCAGCTGTTCTGAAGGTTTTTTTTTACACAGACAATGTCCTATACTACCGTATTTATGGTATAAGAGAAGGAAAGTGCTCTAAACAAAGAGATTGTACTATACTATGGCTAAGCTTCATTGAAATCATCACAGTTACAGTCTGTATATAACTGTACAAAGTCAATAGTAAATAGCGTGTGTGTGTAATGGCTCATTTTTCATCTATTTATCTCTGAAATTTTGCTCAGCACTTTGTGAGAACTAAGAGCCCCAGAGTGTTAAACTAACCCAGAAACTTATCATAACTTTGGAATTTGTTAGGAAATTGAACACACTTTGAAGTTTTGTTCTCAAATTTGGATATTGACTACTCTTGTGGCTGCAAAATCATGGCAAGTGAAGAATTTGTTTGTAAAATGTTGTTGTTAACACATGCTGAATTGTTCTTTCCTATAAGTCACTATAACTATAAACAAATTAAACATCACTTATCATCAGATTTGAAATGTAGTACATGCATTATTCATTTTTTAAAAATATATACTTTTATGAGGATTAGAAGTATATTAAATTCTCTATTGCCTTTCTTGTACACCCACCCCTCTGACATTTTTGTAAAGGGAAATTAATGTGGGCCAAATCTGTCAAAATTCATTCATGGGCCTGAAACTTTCAGTGAAAGAGTTAACTTGCGTACCAATTTACGACGGAAGTTTTGTCGTTGAAACATAATTTATGGTTATATTACATTCACATACTGAAATTTTTAATGCATTTATCTTATAGTTTATACTAAATAATTTCTTATATATTCATTTGATCGTTTCAACAGGTGGACATACATTCACAAAACGATGATTGAATAACTAACAATTTCTCATATAATCTTCTAGCAGAAGACAGCGTTGTCTTTTCGTACGAGATGCTTCCGGTGTGACTCCGTGGTTGTTTCCGTGCAGCAATTATTCGTCTTTAAAAAAGAAAACACCAATTTACACAATACTGTAAATAAACTACAATAACTCCCCATCTGGAAAAAAAAACGGAGGTAGACAAAGTGCCCCCTAACAAGAATTCCTTGAAAGGTGACTAAGTAGGCGCTTGTTGAAATCTGATGTTTCAGATTTAAAGGCGCAGATATCGCAGGCTAACTGTCAACCACAAACTATTTGCACTTACAATCTTTTTAATTTCAAACGTTACAGAAGAAAAAGAAGAAGAAGCAACTGACCTTGTAGCTACAAGCCCTCATTTGTAAACAACAAAAAGCAACACGCAACTTGAAAGGGAGAATTCCTGTAGCGGCTGGACACTTAACTATGCGTCCGAAGGTTGTTGGTTCAAAACCGGATGGTGGCTGACCTTTTTAAAAATGACATTGGCTCCCAGGTCGACCCAGCCATAAATAAGTACTAGGGGCATTTCCCTGCTTTCTCTGTCCTTATCTTCAGCAGCCAGCGCAGAGTTCCAATAATGATGGTACTGGTCACAATCTGGTTTCCAACAGTCCAACATTCTTCTCAAGAACCACATCTCAGCTGCTTCCAAACTCCTCTTAATTTGTTTCCTCACATTCCGAGATTCACTGCCATATGACAGAACAAGCTCGATATAATATTTCAGTACACGTTTTCTGATGTTTAATGAGAGTAATTTATCACATAAGATGCCTTTTATCTTTCGAAATGCTGCCTTTTCCTGGACAGTTCTACTCCTAATTTCTGTCACACATCGCCCATCTGATATTGTTACGGATTCAGATTCGCTCATCCATCACAAATGATGAGGACCACTCTTTCTTTCATCCGTCATGAAACTGCAGTTAAGGATAATGAGACTGTCCACCCCCTCCCCCAGATGTTGTTATTCTTCTTCTTCAGCGATCTCTGGTCATGCGCATAATCCACTGTGGGTCATAAACTGGGATGTCTTTTCAAGGTCTCTTAGGTTTCCCCAAAGCTTAGTTGTCAGTTCTACTGGGTGTTGCCATATGTCGCTCCGCAGCTCCGCCAGGAGAGGACAGTCTTGCAGGACATGTTCTGGAGTCTGTTCAGCACGAAGACACTGGCAGAGAGCTGTTTGGCTCATACCTAATTTATATGAGTGTTTATTGAGTCTGCAGTGTCCAGTGCGTAAGCGAAAAACTGTGACTTGGTCTGTTCTGTTCAAGTGCCTCAGAAAATCTTTTCCGTAGTCATAACCAGTGTTGTTTTTCCAGTCTGTTTCTGATTTTCTCTTAATGAGAGTTTTGACTTCTGGAAAAGATAGTGGCTGGTAGGTCTGTAGTTTGTTACTGCCTTCCTTGGCTAAAGCATCTGCGCTTTCATTGCCTTTGATGCCGCAGTGAGACGGAATCCACTGCAAGTGAATTTCTGCATTATTTGACAACATAGCAAGTTCCTGTGTTATACTTTGTAGTGTGCTGTCGGTAGGTTTGGACTCAAGGGCCTGTACAGCTGACAGTGAGTCAGTGAGAAAAACTATCCTGCCTGAGGTGATTTGCAGATTGTTCATATACTGTGCTGCCATCAATAGAGCTGAGAGTTCTGCCTTGTAGTTAGAGCAAGTTCGTCCGGTGGGGGCTGCTAGGGACACAGTAGTGGCATCTGGGTGTTTTATGTAGACACCTGCCCCACCATTCGTAGTTGCCTCTTTTGCTGATCCATCCGTGTAGATTCTTGTCCAGCTGTCCTGTGGGAACATGTTGTTGAGGTGTTCCATTGTGAGTGCTTTCTTCACTAAAGCGGGCTCAGCATCTTTGTTTCCCAGGTTCGGGATGGATGTTGACACATTGAGTGTCAATAATTCGGAGTCCCAGAGATCGAAAGATAGCTCTTCAGGTGTACATTGTTGGTTAAGTAGTGAAGAGAATGACTTTCCAAATTCCTTCGTTAGATGGTTTAGGCTTGTGCGCTTTATTCTGTTTTTTGTCCTGGCTGTCAATTTTTCGTGTAATGGGTGGTTTAACATTCTCTTCATTTTTTCAGCATGTAGAATTGCTTTTGTCCTTCTTCTTTCTTCTAAGGGGATGATGTTGGCTGCCTTTTCCATTTCTACAATAGGTGTAGATTTTATGGCTCCCAGAATTGTACGCAGACTTCTATTTTGCGTTTTGTCTAGTATCTGTTTATTGGAATGGGCTGCTGTTATCCATGACGATGATGCGTATTCGAGAGTTGGTCTGACTGTGCCGGTATATACCTGCTTCAAGATACAACTGTCTGCTCCCCAAGTGGTGCCTGCCAATTTCTTCATCACACCTTGTTTTCTCATGGCTTTTTTTATTAGTTTCCAGTATGTGATGTTTCCATGTCAGACGACTGTCAAGCTTGACTCCCAGGAAGGTTGGAGTATTGGAGCGTGGAACAGCATCATTGTTGAATTTTAATGTAAACTTTTCCTCCTTTGTAGACAATGAGAAGAGTGTTGCTACAGTTTTGTTCCTGTTTACTTCGAGGCCCCATTTGTTGGCCCAGTTTATGACACTATTCACACTTTCCTGGAGTTTTGATATAGCAGGTCCAATGAACTCAGAGGTGTACCACACAGCTAGGTCATCTGCATGAAGAGAATGTGATACATGTCCGGGTAAAGTTTGAGGTAGGTCGTTGATGTAAATCAGGAACAGGACTGGAGACAGTACACTACCCTGTGGTACTCCTGCTCTCAGCTTGAATCTGGGACTATGTGCTTCATCTAGTTTCACAGATGCCCGCCTGTGTGATAGGAAGTCTTGTATCCAGTAGTACATTCTGCCTCTTATTCCACTATGTAAGAGCTTTAGCATCAAGCCATCCTTCCATACTTTGTCAAAGGCCTTGGACATATCGAAAAAGACTGTGAGGGTTTTCTTCTTTTCCTGGAAGCCATTTTCTATGTCCTGTGTAAGGTATGCTACCTGGTCATCAGTGCTTCTGTGCTGTCGGTAGCCTGTCTGAGCGGGATCCAGTTTGTGATTGGTTTCTAGGAACCACTGAAGTCTGGTTGCTAGCACTCTCTCCATCAGTTTTGCGGGGCAGCTTAGCAGACTGACAGGCCTGTAGCTCTGAGGGTCCTTCTTGTCCTTGCCACTTTTGAGGATAGAGTGGATTATAGCATTTTTCCAGATATCTGGGACTCTGCCTAGTTTCCAGCTATAGTTGTATATCTGGAGTAAGATGTTTTGTGCTACTGGACCCATGTGTTTGAGCATGTCGTTTGAAACTTCGTCTGGGCCAGGTGCCTTCTTTGACTTGAGTTTTCTCATTGCTCTTAGTAGCTCAGTTAGAGTGATGTCTGTCTCCATGCATGGCTCACAAGAGGCTTTTTTGAATATGGAGTTTATCCCATCTCGGACTGCTTTCTTTTGCTCCAGGGTTACTGAATATGAGCTTTCTTTCTCATAGTTTCGGGCCATCAGAGTCGCTGCTTCCTTCCCTGTGAGTAGATTTCCTTCTTGTTGGAGAACTGTTTTTCCATGAGATGGGTTGTCATCATTAAGTGCCTTTGTCAGTCTCCACAATTTTGTGGTGTCTTTTTCCATGTTCAGAGAAGCAGTCTTTTCTTTCCAGGACTTTCTACACTGTAGGTTTCTTTCTCTGACATAGAGAGCCCTTGCTTTGTTGTGTTGCTTCACATGTTCGTCTGTTGGATCAGCTTCCATGCTATCTCTAGCATCACAGAGCGAACCGTGAAGCACTTCCAGTTCTGGTGACCAATATGGCTTGTAATTGTGCCTCTTTCCTCTAGGAATGGTTTTTTTTTGCTGCATTCAGTATGGCCTTGTTGAATTCTTGTGCATCTCTGTCAACCTTACCTGAAAGGCTGATTGCTTTGCAGTTTGAGTCTGCAAGTTCTTGAAAAAGTTTCCAATCTGCCTTTTTGTAGTTCCAGCTTGGTGCGGTATCTGGAGATTTTTCTATTTTAAGGTTGTTTATCAGAATCTTCACTGGCCTGTGGTCACTGCCTCCTAACTGGTCACACACCTGCCTAACAGATATCTTATGGATGTCGTCTGTTGCAAATGCTAGATCAGGTGTGCTTGTTGTGCGCCACCGTCTAGAGTAGTGCGTATGCGGGTCATCAGGGTGATTGAGAAGGGTGAGACAGTTTGTGATTAGCCACTCCTCAAGATTTTCTCCACGAGCATCTAAACAGTCATAACCCAGCTGGGTGAGTGACTGTTGAAATCTCCGATAATTAGCAAGTTGCTCTCTTGAACCTGTATAGCTTCAAGTTCGGTGGGGAGGGTAGGTGGTGAGTAAATGTTGTAGACTGACATATTTTTTATTTTTTAGTTGCAGCTGGACAGCAATGAATTCAGTATTCAGCTGGTTGGATCTATGTAGTTCAACCGCTGGTATTGAATTACGAACCAGCGTGGCAACCCCACCTTTATGTCTATTTTCTCTGTCTTGGCGAAATATTTCATATCCTCTAATATGAAATCTTTTACTTGGGTTGAGGTGCGTCTCTTGAATGCAGATAACGTCGATTTTTTATGCTCGCAGGCGTTCCTCTAGTTCTCTCTTTTTGTTAAATACGCCTTCGGCGTTCCACTGCATGATTACAAGTGGTGGAAGTGTGTCCTCGCAGTTAGAAGTGACACCCTGTCCTCCCCTAGCAATGCAGGAAGCCGCGGGGCTGTTGGTGGCTAAGGGTAAACCTGTTTGAGATGTGAGAGCGAGTCCCGCTTTCACTTGATTGTTACCCAACGTGGTGGTACCACTATTGGATAAATATTTGCGCATGGCCATTGAGTTAACCGTATGTGTCGATTCCTCCCCACCAAATATATGGTTGACACATTCCGTTTCTGGGGACAGCTTTTATCGAGTTTGCTCTCTAGACAGTTGCAGTCCCCTGCTGACGAGATTCTGTCTTCCCGAGTGGACCGCCGCGATCAAAACATTGCGAAGGCAGCGTGGTCGAGGCTGCCAAAACTATCGGTCATTATCCCGCCCCGACACAGCACAACCACAATACACGCTGTTCCCACGAAAAACACATAATATCCTGCGTTGGAAATGCGCACAAAATAGCAGTCCATGATTATAGAACAGAATAATCCGAGAGAATTGACAGCCAGCGACAATAAACACAGCTGCTGTCCAGATGTTGTTATTAAAATACTTGAATTTATTGACTTGGTTAAGCCATGACCGGCTCCAGCTGACAGGTGTGCTGCTGACGTCACTGGGCCGGGCTAACGATGCGTTAAAGCAGTGGATCTCAAACTGGGTACCGATGCACCCTGGGGTGCCGTGAGCGTATGCCAGGGGTATCACGACAATAATCAAGAAAAGTCGGCTATACATTTTAAAACTATTAAAGAAGGCATGTAGATACTTAAAAGTTAAAATTTAAGTTGTCTTCCCTTGCCACCGTCGAAAAAAGTTTATTTCTTGTTTGAGAATCGCTGCGTTAAAGCATCGTTAGCCCGACTCCGACCCGGTGACGCCAGCAGCACGGCCCGTCAGGTTAAGCCCTTTCCCTTCTATTGCCATGTCACATTTTTTAGCTTTTCTTTGATATAACCATTGTTTCTGTCTTCCTAAGGAAAGTCCATTTTTTGCACTCTCTGATTAATTAACTAACTAGTTAGTTTAGATATTTTAAATCATTTAAAAGGCGTTATATTCAAACATTTCCCAGTTTTTGCTTAACGGTTAAGTAATAATATACAGTCATAGAAAAAGTGTATGCTCTGTAACTATACGGAACAAAAGAACTGCTTCACTGTAAACAAAAGTGAACTTTGTGCTTTGGAGTTCGCAGAGAGCCATGTCCAGCAGACTAGGACTTTTGTACAGTTTATTATAAATATAATTATAGAAGATGGCAGCTGCAACCGCTGGGGCACTCGGACGAATCAGACATTCGTTTTTAAGAAGACAACTTTTATCGTGTAAATATTTAAAGTGTTGTACTGCTCTGCTACTTTATACTACTAATACTTACTACTAGTACTAGTACTATCATCTACTGCTGTGTCAACCGACTGAAAGTAGTCGCATTCAATCATTCGTTAACTTATATTACTACTTTCCCCTGTCTTTCTCCTTATTTGCTTCACCCCCCTCCCCCACTAACAGCTGTTTAAGCTATGTTGGATAAAAGAGCAAACAAATATCAGATTACAACTTCACCATATATTATCTGCAAGACTAATAAATTCTCTATCAAGAATTTGTGTTGATCGTCATCTCATACTAATACTAGTAATACTACTCATCGAGTCATAGACTATGGTATAGGTAGGGATGCTAGAGTGACGTTTTTTAAATTGGGTTTTTATTTATGAAAACATCACAGCTAAATAGAAATTAAAATATACAATCCAACGATACCTCAGAGGAAGCTTGTAAGTCAGTTCTAATTTAAAATATTAACATTTTAGTGGCAGAAACCATCATCAACAAAATATAGTTGAATCTGACAAAAGATGGGGTCCGGGGTGCATCCTAGTAAAATGTAGGGTGGAAATAACTAAATGTTTGCATTTTATAACAGTAAGTATGTTTTTTTAAAATCCCTTAGTAATTGTATATCATTGCAATCGGGCAGTGAGGCCTAACTGCACATGAATTTCCTGAATATGTATGATACAATATGGGCCTAATTAAAATATAAAAAGGGCTGCCAGCTTAGTATTTTTAAGTAAACACAGCACAGTGGAAATAATGAACGAGCGTGACCAGGGAGTAAAGCATGGTGAAGACTGTCTATGCCGCCTTTGAGGCCGAGACAGGAGACATTATAACCAGCTCCTCATGGGAACAGTCAGTCGAGGTTCTTGGACTGGCCGCTGTGTTGCAGGATTGAACATCCATAGGAATGCTTAATGTACAGGGACGTTGATTGTGAAAACATAATTCATTGAAATTCTAGTACTCTACTTGTTCATTAAAAATTAAAAAAACACACACACACATCCACCAACACCCACCCACTTGCACGCGCGCGTGTCCGTGCATGTGTGTGTGTGTGCCACTTTGTGTAATAGGATAACTGCATCTACACATTTTCAGTCAGAAGACAGTTACCATGCACACAGGCTCAGAGAAGTGTGTCCAGTCTCATAGACTTGCCAGAGACCCATGCCCTCCTAAGGAAAACATGTCGAGATTTTGCCGAAAATGAGCTTATGCCAGTTGCTGGGCAGTTGGACAAAGAACATAAATTTCCACAAGAGCAGGTTCGTAGTTTTATCATGTTCTACCGCAAGAGCAGATTCCTAGTTTTATCATGTTTTACCGCAAGAACAGGTTCGTAGTTTTATCATGTTCTACCACAAGAGCAGGTTTATAGTTTTATCATGTTCTACCGCAAGAGTAGGTTCTTAGTTTTATCATGTTCTACCGCAAGAGCAGGTTCTTAGTTTTATCATGTTCTACCGCAAGAGCAGGTACGTAGTTTTATCATGTTCTACCACAAGAGCAGGTACGTAGTTTTATCATGTTCTACCACTAGAGCATGTACATAGTTTTATCATGTTCTACCTCAAGAGCAGGTACGTAGGTTTATCATGTTCTACCGCAAGAGCAGGTACGTAGTTTTATCATGTTCTACCACAAGAGCAGGTACGTAGTTTTATCATGTTCTACCACAAGAGCAGGTACATAGTTTTATCATGTTCTACCACAAGAGCAGGTACATAGTTTTATCATATTCTACCACAAGAGCAGGTACGTAGTTTTATCATGTTCTACCACAAGAGATGGTACGTAGTTTTATCATGTTCTACCGCATGAGCAGGTACGTAGTTTTATAATGTTCTACCGCATGAGCAGGTACGTAGTTTTATCATGTTCTACCACAAGAGCAGGTACGTAGTTTTATCATGTTCTACCGCATGAGCAGGTACGAAGTTTTATCATGTTCTACCGCAAGAGCAGGTACGTAGTTTTATCATGTTCTACCACAAGAGCAGGTACGTAGTTTTATCATGTTCTACCACAAGAGCAGGTACATAGTTTTATCATGTTCTACCACAAGAGCAGGTACATAGTTTTATCATGTTCTACCACAAGAGCAGGTACGTAGTTTTATCATGTTCTACCACAAGAGATGGTACGTAGTTTTATCATGTTCTACCGCATGAGCAGGTACGTAGTTTTATAATGTTCTACCGCATGAGCAGGTACGTAGTTTTATCATGTTCTACCACAAGAGCAGGTACGTAGTTTTATCATGTTCTACCGCATGAGCAGGTACGAAGTTTTATCATGTTCTACCGCATGAGCAGGTACGTAGTTTTATCATGTTCTACCGCATGAGCAGGTACGTAGTTTTATCATGTTCTACCACAAGAGCAGGTACGTAGTTTTATCATGTTCTACCGCATGAGCAGGTACGTAGTTTTATCATGTTCTACCACAAGAGATGGTACGTAGTTTTATAATGTTCTACCGCAAGAGCAGGTACGTAGTTTTATCATGTTCTACCACAAGAGCAGGTAGGTAGTTTTATCATGTTCTACCGCAAGAGCAGGTACGTAGTTTTATCATGTTCTACCGCATGAGCAGGTACGTAGTTTTATCATGTTCTACCACAAGAGATGGTACGTAGTTTTATAATGTTCTACCGTAGGAGCAGGTACGTAGTTTTATCATGTTCTACCGCAAGAGCAGGTACGTAGTTTTATCATGTTCTACCGCATGAGCAGGTACGTAGTTTTATCATGTTCTACCGCAAGAGCAGGTACGTAATTTTATTATGTTTTACCGCAAGAGCAGGTACGTAGTTTTATCATGTTCTACCGCAAGAGCAGGTACGTAGTTTTATAATGTTCTACCAACAACAACAAATTATGCTTTTACTCAGAGACCTCAGTTGAGTGATTTTGTATATTCTTGTTTGTAAATGTAACATTGTTTTATGTCATGACGTAAATGTAACATTGTCTGTTTATGCCATGACATAAATGTAACATTGTCTGTTTATGTCACGATGTAAATGTAACATGGTCTTTTCATGTCATGATGTAAATGTAACGTTGTCTGTTCATGTCATGACATAAATGTAACATTGTCTGTTTATGTCATGATGTAAATGTAACGTCGGTTTATGATATGACATAAATGTAACGTCTGTTTACATCATGATGTAATTGTAATGTCTGTTTATGTCATGACGTAAATGTAACATTGTCTGTTTATGTCATAAGGTAAATGTAACGTCGTCTGTTAATGTTTTGTTGTAAATGTAACATTGTCTGTTCATGTCATAATGTAGATTATCACTGTCTGCTCATGTCATGTTGTAAATGTAACATTATCTGTTTATATTATGATGTAAATATAACGTTGTCTGTTAATGCCATGATGTAAATGTAACATTGTCTGTTCATGTCATGATGTTTCATGTCATGATGTAAATAAATCATTATCTGTTCATGTCAGGATGTAAATGTAACATTGTCTGTCCATGCCATGATGTAAATGTAACATTGTCTGTCCATGTCATGATGTAAATGTAACATTGTCTGTCCATGTCATGATGTAAATGTAACATTGTCTGTTCATGTCCTGATGTAAATGTAACATTGTCTGCCCATGTCATGATGTAAATGTAACATTATTTGTTCATGTCCTGATGTAAATGTAACATTGTCTGCCCATGTCATGATGTAAATGTAACATTGTCTGTTCATGTCCTGATGTAAATGTAACATTGTCTGACCATGTCATGATGTAAATGTAACATTGTCTGTCCACGTCATGATGTAAATGTAACATTGTTCATGTTGTGATGTAAATGTAACATTGTCTGACCATGTCATGATGTAAATGTAACATTGTCTGTTCATGTCATGATGTAAATGTAACATTGTCTGTCTATGTCATGATGTAAATGTAACATTGTCTGTCCATGTCATGATGTAAATGTAACATTGTTCATGTTGTGATGTAAATGTAACATTGTCTGTCCATGTCATGATGTAAATGTAACATTGTCTGTTCATGTCATGATGTAAATGTAACATTGTTTGTTCATGTCATGATGTAAAACATCTGGGAAGAAGGCAAGAGGAAGACCAAGAAAAATATGTATAAATGGTGTAGATGAAAGATGCAAAAAGTTGAACAAAATCCATCACTCAAGCCACCCGAGTAGCGCAAGACAAATACAAAAAAACCACCAACTAGGCTACAACCTGGTATCAGTGAGACGATAAAAGACGAAGAAAATGTATGCCTATTGTGGTATTTTATTAAGTCAGTAGTGGCAAACTACTGAACGCAAATTTGCCTAGAAAACCACAACAGCCAAATAATGCTGGGGTTGGTTTTGTAACATCCTGTAAAGGTAACGCAACTGACTTTTTTTTGTTAAATTTGAAAAAAGATGGCATTGTAAGAATTTTGTAATCTTTCAGGTGAAGAAACTAGGAGAGCTAGGACTTTTGTGTGTGGATGTACCCGAATCGGAAGGAGGGACAGGTCTTGATTACCTGGCATATGCAATTGCTGTTGAGGAAATCAGTCGAGGGTGTGCCTCAACCGGCTGTATAATGAGCGTCAATAATGTAAGAGGAGGTATTTCCTAATACAATTGTAGGTCAATGCTTGCCAATGTGTAATGGTTGCTCACTTCATCACAGGTAATTTTAAGCTATGCCAGAAAGCCACAGAAGAACGGGTATTATTGAATATGTGACAGTGAGACGTGTAGCTGGCATGATTACTATAGAAGTTCGTTTGACCTGTCCGGCCAGTACACTTGCCAAGTAACTATATAAATATAAAGTCCTCTCTACACGCACACACACACACACACACAGATAAAGAGAGAGAGAGAAAAAAATAGAGAGAGAGAGTTCCCTTAGACTTGCCATGCATTTCTCTCAACAGCCATCAGTTTAGTGGGAATCTCATCCTCTTTGCACAAGCTGGGGTTCACAGAAACACAGACCCCCTGTGAATTTTCAGACCACACACGTTTCTCACTGTCCTTTGGCCCAAGTACCACAACCCTTCAACATGTTTGCCATGAACAAACAATGTTACATTTACATCATGACATGAACAGACAATGTTACCAGTGTTCATCAGCGCTTCAACCGCCCCTGGCTTCATTCACTACTTACATAACAAAATGACTTTATCATACAAAAGCTTGCCACATTTCAGTGAGAACAGTTTTGGAGAAGGTTGTTGCAGCCAGGTATATCAGTCAGGTAGATCAATCAGGAAGATCAGCCAGGTAGATCAGTCAGGTAGATCAGCCACACAAATCAGTCAGGTAAATCAGTCAGGTAGATCAGTCAGGTAGATCAGTCAGGTAGACCAGCTACGTAAATCAGGTAGATCAGCTGGGTAGATCAGCCAGTTAGATCAGCCATGTAGATCAGTCAGGTAGATCAGCTAGGTAGATCAGTCAGGTAGATCAGTCAGGTAGATCAGCCAGGTAGATCAACCAGGTAGATCAGCCAGGTAGATCAGCTAGGTAGATCAGTCAGGTAGATCAGTCAGGTAGATCAGCCACATATATCAGTCAGGTAGATCAGCCAGGTAAATCAGTCAGGTAGATCAGCTAGGTAGATCAGTCAGGTAGATCAGTCAGGTAGATCAGCCAGGTAGATCAACCAGGTAGATCAGCCAGGTAGATCAGCTAGGTAGATCAGTCAGGTAGATCAGTCAGGTAGATCAGCCAGGTAAATCAGCCAGCTAGAGAGCAGAGGTAGACAAATGCTGGATAGTTTCACAAAGAGGTAGAGAGGTCAAGTGATCAAAGTTATCGAGTTATGTGTGGACCAATGTGACTGCCTTTTTCAATCAAAATAGCACATGATAATGATGTTACTGTTACTGTAATGTTTCTGATCTTTTCCTATCATTTTACTTGTAAATGTTTGTTAACATATTTATTTAACAGATTTCTTTCTTATCAGCAAATGATGGAAACTAGTTTGTTTTGTTTTCTTGTTCTCTTTCATGTTTTGAAAGAGCTTGTATCTGAGCCCTATTATGAAGTTTGGAACTAAAGAACAGAAGGAGAGATTTTTGAAGCCATTTCTCAATGGAGACAGCATTGGGTGTTTTGCCTTGAGTGAACCAGGTTAGAGATTGTCTCAGTTGTACTGTCTTTTCTGTTTTATTGAAATAACATGGCCATTTTGCTATACATTTCCAATTTAAGCAGCTAACAGAACTTTCTGTTGTGTTAAGGGGTCTCCTTGGCAAAGTGGTCAAGCTGTTTGCTTCGTGCTCTGAAGGCCGTGGGCTTATTTCACAGCTGTATCGTTCGGTTCATGAGCACAGTTTTACAGAGATCCCAGGGGATTTTCCTCAGAGCTACGAAGTTTGTGCTTTATGTGGCACTGTCGGCAAGCGGTTAGCCATTCTGTAAAGAGAGACCCAGCTATATGGGGTAAAATCTGGTACAGTGAAGTTGATTGTCATCCTCTTGACTTTAACATTGTTTTAAGCCAAACAGCTAACATAAGAATTGTACAGATTTAAGTTAAACAGCTAACATAAGAACTGTACAGATTTAAGTTAAACAGCTAACATAACAGTTGTACAGATTTAATTTAAACAGCTAACATAAGAATTGTACAGATTTAAGTTAAACAGCTAACATAAGAATTGTACAGGTTTAAATAAGTTAAAAGTTAAAACAGCTAACATAAGAATTGTACAGCCAACATAAGAATTGTACAGATTTAAGTTAAACAGCTAAAATAAGAATTGTACAGATTTAAGTTAAACAGCTAACATAAGAATTGTACAGATTTAAGTTAAACAGCTAACATAACAGTTGTACAGATTTAATTTAAACAGCTAACATAACAGTTGTGCAGATTTTAGTTAAACAGTTAACATAACAATTGTACAGATTTAAATTAAACAGCTAACATAAGAATTGTACAGGTTTAAGTTAAACAGCCAACATAAGAATTGTACAGATTTAAGTTAAACAGCTAACATAAGAATTGTACAGGTTTAAGTTAAACAGCCAACATAAGAATTGTACAGATTTAAGTTAAACAGCTAACATAAGAATTGTACAGATTTAAGTTAAACAGCTAATATAATCTTTTACTGTGTATATTTAAACAGGTAACATAACTGCTGTAACATTGTACTGTTTCAAGTTAACATAGCTAATATAATGTTTAAAGCTAACAGCTAAAATACTTCTGATATTGTTTTAAATATAACTGCTAAAAATATTTTCCGCAGCAGTATGCTCATGTTAATGCACTTAAACTGTAGTACTTATTACTACAAAACTATACCATACACTCTTCTTCCTCATCTTAGCTTTAACTGGCTTTCAACTCCAGCAGAAAATTCTGGTTGTTTGTCCACCTCTGGACTTTATTCTTGTTTCAGAACTGTAGTTTTGCAGCATGCATATTAGAGACCAGGAGTTCTATTTGTTTTTCTCCTAAAAAAAAAAGGTCCAGGAACCCACACAGGGATACCAGGGGCAGACCAGGCAAGTCTATTCTAGGGCTTCATGATGCCGTACTCTATTGAAGGTGCAGAATCTGTTGAAGATATTGCAGCTTTAGGCTGATTCCAAATGAAAAGAAAAACATGAATCAATTAATGTGTCATATTTCAGTTTAAAACAATCATATTTCTGCATGCAGGAAATGGCAGCGATGCTGGAGCTGCTACAACGACCGCACAACTGACATCAGATAAATGGATTTTGAACGGCACCAAGGCATGGATCACAAACGGTTATGAATCAGCTGCTGCAGTGGTTCGTATAATAATTGTTATTGAACTGCTGTGTCTTCAAAAACCCTTCTTTTATATTTGATGTCATGCCCACCCATTCTGAAAACGCACACTAGGAAATACTCTGGGAAGTAAAGGCAGCATGTGTGGTACTGATCACATTATCCATTAAGAGCTGATCAGGCTACACAGATATGGGCCCTGCGCTGCATGCCATGTATGCCTCAAGGTGCAGGAATTGGTCTTTTATATACTCACAGGGTGTTTTTCTCTAGAAATAAAGATGTCATTACTTACTACCTAATGTCCTTAAAAAGATGTCATTACTTACTACCTAATGTCCTTAAAAAGATGCAATTACTTACTACCTAATGTCCTTAAAAAAACGCCATTACTTACTACCTAATGTCCTTAAAAAGATGTCATTACTTACTACCTAATGTACTTAAAAAAACGCCATTACTTACTGCCTAATGTCCTTAAAAAGATGCCATTACTTACTGCCTAATGTCCTTAAAAAGATGCCATTACTTACTGCCTAATGTCCTTAAAAAGATGTCATTACTTACTACCTAATGTACTTAAAAAAACGCCATTACTTACTACCTAATGTCCTTAAAAAGATGCCATTACTTACTGCCTAATGTCCTTAAAAAGATGTCATTACTTACTACCTAATGTCCTTAAAAAGATGCCATTACCTACTGCCTAATGTCCTTTAAAAGATGCAATTACTTACTACCTAATGTCCTTAAAAAGATGCAATTACTTACTACCTAATGTCCTTAAAAAGATGCCATTACTTACTGCCTAATGTCCTTAAAAAGATGTCATTACTTACTACCTAATGTCCTTAAAAAGATGTCATTACTTACTGCCTAATGTCCTTAAAAAGATGCCATTACTTACTGCCTAATGTCCTTAAAAAGATGCAGTTACTTACTACCTAATGTCCTTAAAAAGACGCCATTACTTACTATCTAATGTCCTTAAAAAGATGCCATTACTTACTGCAAAGTATATTAAATTGGCTCTGAAAAAAATGTCCCTTACTGCGTACTGTTGGGTACCTTCAGGAAAAACCTCCTCACTCATTACTGGAAATACCAGATGGTAAAATTCAAGAGGAAAAAATAAACATCAAAGAAGACAAACAACATCAGACAAGTAGGCAAGCACAGTGGGGCATAGAGTTATCGTGTGCTGAAGAAAGTTGTGGAGAATATAAGACAACAGAGGGACATGGGGACAAGAATGCCTCAGTACAAGACTTTGAATTTACCACTGGACCTTAGTTTTGTTCCAAAACTTGACATTTGCATACATATCCAGAGTCCCTGGCGACAGAACTAGCCACACTGACCTAAATCCTCAGGCTAAAAGACCTCCCTGCCTACACCGCAAAAGTGGTAAATAAAGGCAGTGCGTGGCAGTTTTTGTGTGGCTTTTTTGAATGCAGACTGTTGGTTCCTCACCTCTCAGGCAGATGCAAGCTGACTTCAAAGGAAACTATCCTAATTAGTCACCTTTTGTGACATGCTTGTTAAAAGGGCAGGGGGTCTATTCTATTCACCCCAAAATGGGGCCTAGAAACCCACATTATGAGCCTGGTGATGGTGATGATGATGATGATGATGATGATATCTGTCAGGGCTGTTTTGATAGACTGAGATACAAAGGTCACTTGCACAAGCAGTCACTACTCCTCAAAAAGGCAATACTGACAGTTCTGTGACTCCATTCATTATCCGTTTTGCGTCTTCATGTTTTTGGCCATTCTGTTTCAAATGAAGCTTCAGCTAACCCTTACCAAGCCCTAGAAGACTCATTTCTGCCTGGCTACATTTTTGCTGGTCCAGTTTTCTACAGGTTTTTGTGGCTAGCCTGCAACAAACCCTCCTAACTTGGTTTCTGATGACATTTATGGTAGATTACAGTGTTATTTGCTCCTCATATAGGCTGCAGTTGAAAAAGCAATTGATAAATGTGCTATCTGTACCAACTTTATGCTGTCACTGCCAGACATGGACATTCAACAACAAAAAATAACCACAAAATCACAAGATGTGAGATGAGATGTATAAGTGATGTGGCAGGAGAAACAAGAAGAGAGAGTCATCAGTGAAGAATTAAGAACAGTCATAGGCACAGTACCAGAAAATTATTTCATAGAACATCAAAGAATCAAAAGATTTGGTCATCTGGTTAGAATGTAATCAAATCAACCAGCATCTAGAGTGTACTGTATAAGAACACCAGGCTACAAGGCCAGAGGCCGACTAAGAAAAAAACAACTGGTGGAGGGAGTGAAAGAGACAGTGCAGAAACGCAGGATGACATTACCATCAGCTATGCAGCTAACAAAAGAGGAAACTACATCTTACTCCTTTCTGCGATGGTTTGTGGCAGAAGCAGTAGGATGAAACAAGAAGGGAGAAGATAGGATGCAGTAACTTACTGTCAGCATTCAGATGATGCCTGCGTAATTGACCTTGGAATGACCTGAGAGGGGGCCAGGCTGTTATTGTACTAGTTTTTCATGGTTTTTGATTAAATTTTATGTTTTGTTTAGTTATGAATTTGTTTAGTTCATTGCTCATAAATATCAATTATTTCAGGTATTTGCTACCACAGATAAAAAACAGAAACATAAGGTGGGAATAATTTGCCATTTTGTAATCTACCAGTTAATCTACCAGTTAACACATATATTGTTTCCTGTGTGGATTCTGGGGCTCCATTGTGAAGAAAACAAGAAAAGACCCAGTACCTCCCCAACAAACATGTCATAAAGGTCGACTGACTGGCGACTTCCTCCGAAGTTAGAGTGCATCTGCCTAAGAGGCATGTAACCAACTGTCGGCATACAAAAAGGCAGATCTTTAAAACTAATATGCACGCAACAGTCAGGTTCTGGACCAATACTTAAGTCCAGAAGTGGACGAACAACCAGAACTTTCCCCTGCTGTTTACAGCCAATTAACATGAAGAAGAAGATTTATATTGTGACAGAATTAATATATTTGCATTTTCGAGGCCCTTTTATTATAATTAACTATAATTTCAGCTGCATAACATACATTTTGTTTCCCAACTATTCGTTTGTGATATTTGGAAAGTAGAGAATCACAACTTAATCTGAATTTTTGTTTTCGAAGGACCTTGACTTTGTGCTGGTGGATGGTACTTACTGAGAAAACCCTGTGGCCCATTATCATCATCATCAATTTCCACTTCTGCTGTTAAGCGTTATGGGGAGGAACAGTTTGCGATCCATTACTTGATGGGCAGCAATGGCTATTGTCATTCCGTGTCGATATAGAAGCTCTTAAATGTCATCAGTCTTTTTCTCCTAGGGCGGCCTCTTAATTTCACTTCAGATCTTTTCATGCGTAGCGTCTGCGTTGGTAGTTGTTCTGGCAGCATTCTTACTAAATGACAAGACCATTTGATCTTCTAGATCTTATTGAATTTGCTGCATGATGTTGTTCCTACGGTCTGTCTGATAATATCATTTCTAATTTTGTCTCGTAAATTAGCCTTTGATAATGTCCAAGTCTGGCACAGGTAGCACAGTGTTGGTATGAATATGCTGTTTATAAACTGTTTTCTTGGTGCTCATACTTATGTTTGGATGTCTTAATAAAGGTGTCATTTGGTAAATAAGTGCAATGGCTAATTGGCATCTTGTTTCTATTTCCCGATCTATTCTTCCATCTTCTGAGAATATACTTCCTTGATAATTAAATTCTTTAACTTGCTTCAGACAAGTACCATTCAACACCATATGTAGCAGACTAGGAATTCTACTGACCTGCATATAAATATATATATTTTATATACATGGATAGAATATCCAAAGAAGGCAGTTTTAAAGCAATCGACCCAGAAATTGAGGAACTTTACTTTCCAGAGGAAGAATTAGATTCTCACCCAATACATGAGCTACTATTTGCAGACGAACAGTGCCTGTTCTACAATGAGGGGAGTAGACTGCAAGACCATTTAAACAGGTTGTAAAACATTCCCATAAATGCCAGTATATGGGCATGTCTGCAATGATCTGTTCTTGAAAAGCATTAGTAAATTGCAATGGTCCTGTGATTTGTTGTCTTTGTATGTTATTTAGAATTGGTTCTTTGTCACCTTTTTTTTTTAACCCTCATTCCTGATTGCATCTCTTCTGGTCACTCCATCAACCCTTCCCAATTTAATTTCCATGGTTACTAATTTTCTTGTATGGTTTCGTTGTGAGTGACCATGTCTGGCATGAATATTGATAGGCGAGTCACAAAGGGGAAGTAATTGGAGCCTCATCGCCTGATATTCGGTGAGGGCACTGTAGCTAGGGCTGGATTAGGACCCTTTGTGCGCTAAGAACTTACAAGATTTTGGTACCCTTCTCTCCCAGAGCTGTCTTAACAGCATTATGGGCCCCTGGGCAAATCATTGGGCTGGGCCCCCACGGCTCACAGGAATCAAGTGTAAATAGTCACTTGACCAACACAGGTTAGCAGGAGTGCCCCTATGCTCCTGCCAGCTGGCCCATGTGTTAAGTCAGCATTGATGCCCCTGTAATTAAAAATAAAAGCAAAAATAAACCATACAATAAAATTTAGTTTATCAGAATGAAACTTACAGTAAGATGGAAACTAATAACTATTTTTGTATTATCATCATTATCATCATCATCATCAATCAGCATGTCCTTTATAAAACGTTGCTCTCTTCACGCAGTTGATAGGAGACTCACTTTCAAATCCAGCTGCTACTCGCTGCAGCCCACGGCTGGTGTTTGAAACCGGGCGGTTTCCGGGGTTCACCCAGCCTTGAGGTAATGGGTACCAGAGTTAACACAGCGACACAAGTGGACAGTTTCTTATCAGCTGTCCGTACTAGTGGCAGAGTACTTATGGTTTATAACCGTGTGCATGACACTGGTTCACATCACCTTACTTTACCTTTTACCTTTACAGCACACCTAAAAGTCTCTCATACGCTAGCCAGTTCTCCAGCCCTGTGTGCTTTCATAGCCAATGCATCTTCCATGTCCTATATTCACCTTCCTGGAGTTTGACCTTTGCCTCATTTTCAGGAAACTACACCCTCCATCACCGTTCTCTCCAGACCATCATGGCGCTTTACATGTCCAAAATACCACAGCTTTCGGGAGAGGATGCTGTTTATGAGCCAGTTATCGTTAATGTTCAGCTCATATTTTCATATACTTTAGCGTAATTTATATATGAAAAGTTTTTTTTTTTTAAATTGTAAAGTGTTTGATCAGATGCCCACACTGATCTAATGTAACACGTCTGCTTCTTTACTTGATAGCAGTATGGCATCCATCCTGCATTGTTGTATTGTTGTTCTGATGGGATTTAAAAAAAATCTACTTCAACTGAGAAAATAGACACTCACCTCCCAGATTATTGAAAATGTATGTGGTGCCCCTCCCTATGTGATGCCCTAAGCACATGCTTAATGGTTAATCCAGCCCTGACTGTAGCCAGCCTTCATGTGAAGACGACAGGTTTAAAAATAACACACGGATCAGGCCGTCTGTATAACTATAGTAATTCTCTATCTAGAGCTTCCTGCCCACAGATGGATCTGTCTTTTTATCAGGCTGTTTTAAATCATGTTGATTGCAGGGAATAAGTGCCTTTCTGGTGCCCAAACCAACAGATGGTCTTTCACTGGGCAAGAAAGAAGACAAGCTTGGAATCAGAGCAACTTCTACATGCTATTTGATCTTTGAAGACTGCAGTATTCCCCAGGACTGTTTGTTAGGACAACCAGGCATGGGCTTCAAAATTGCAATGGTGAGTTCAGCAGGTTTTAAGAAGGCCTGCAAAAGAAGAACTCTTGTAGTAGTAAAAATTGCTCTCTCTGGTGCCCTGTCTGATGCCAATCTGGTTACATGGCCAAACCATTTGATTTTGTTGTCTACCTATAAAGTTCAGTATTGGTTCTGTGCTGACTCTCTTCCTGAAATCATGGTTCCTAAGTCGATCTTTCCTCGTTACAACTAGCACAGTGTGTAAACATTTAATTTCTGTCCTGACTATTTTCCTTCTGTTTTCTGAAGACAGTGTCCATGTTTGACATTGATAGCATAGCATTGGTAAGAATAGTGTTGAAGAGTGTAATGTATTGAATATAAGAGTTAAATCTTGGTCTCCCAGAGGATTCAGCACCAATAAAATTAATAATATTAGAGTTGTTTGTTTTCTTAAACTGAATACCAGATTTAAACTTTGCCTTTGCAATTACACATTAGCAAACCTTGGATGCTGGACGAATTGGCATAGCCGCACAAGCGTTGGGGATTGCTCAGGTCAGAAAATATTTGTAAATTTATTGATTTTCTTCACTAGTAGGTTGTTGTAAATTGTTGCTGGGGTGACCTGCTTCTTTCCTCATCACCTCTCATTTACAGACAATTCTGGAAGTTTTTAGGCACCTGTTTTAACAAGGCCTGGTCAGCCCTAGAGTCATTCTGGTTGGGGGATAAAGGTCTGATGATTGAACCTGGACCAGTGGCTTGGCAGGGAATTGTACAAAACGCTATGCCACCACAGCATCCAGATCTGTTTTTTAACATGCATGATGTGCACATGGGCACTGGGAAATGACATCATATATCTGTTAGCCTACATGTGTAAACAGGTTCCTTTAGTTTATAATGTACATAGAGTCCTCCCCACTCACAACATCCTGCCTAGAGCCAAGGGCTCCCTGCTCACCACATCCTGTCTAGAACCAAGGGCTCCCCGCTCACCACATCCTGCCTAGAACCAAGGGCTCCCTGCTCACCACATCCTGTCTAGAACCAAGAGCTCCCCGCTCACAGCATCCTGTCTAGAACCAAGGGCTCCCCGCTCACAACATCCTGTCTAGAACCAAGGGCTCCCTGCTCACCACATCCTGTCTAGAACCAAGAGCTCCCTGCTCACCACATCCTGTCTAGAACCAAGAGCTCCCTGCTCACCACATCCTGTCTAGAACCAAGGGCTCCCTGCTCACCACATCCTGTCTAGAACCAAGGGCTCCCTGCTCACCACATCCTGTCTAGAACCAAGAGCTCCCCGCTCACAACATCCTGTCTAGAACCAAGGGCTCCCTGCTCACCACATCCTGTCTAGAACCAAGAGCTCCCCACTCACAACATCCTGTCTAGAACCAAGAGCTCCCCACTCACAACATCCTGTCTAGAACCAAGAGCTCCCCACTCACAACATCCTGTCTAGAACCAAGGGCTCCCCGCTCACAGCATCCTGCCTAGAACCAAGGGTAGATTATGAAATAAGCAATTTCCTCTGTACAGATGTTCTTCAACTAAATTTGAACTAATTTATCCCACAATTATCATTACTTTCTTTGTAGGTTTTAGCCTCCATTTTAGGAGGAAATGGATAGACAATAGCACCTTTAAAAAAATGGCTCCTTTTTCAGCTTTCAGGTGTATTGGGCATATAGGGCAAGACCTGTAATTTATAGACCAATCGGCACACTGTGGGGGGGATGTGATCAAGCCAGCTGCCTTTACTTCCAAAGACTTCTGCTGGTACCCATTTCAGTCTAGGTTGACCTGGAAGCCAAGGTCATTTTTGAAAAAAGTTTGGCTCTGGCAGGACCTGAACCCAGGACCTTTGGATCTGCAGGGTTTGCGTCTAGCTGCTACACTATGTCGGCTCCCAGCTGCTTTACATGCAAGACATAAATGGCAACTAATTAGGGGTGTGCTGAAATCTTATGTGAAATCTGGAAGGTGCAAATTGTTTCAAAGCGATATCGATGCCAATCTATCACACGCTTGTAACATTTCAGAGGCATCACATGCTGACCAGGCGTCTACAAGGTGACTGATTATGCCTCCAAACTGTAGTGAAGTGTCTGTGGTGGAAGTACTGGGTTAACACAGTTCTCATAGTCCTATCATACCACTAACACTGAGAACAGTCCGCAACCAAGATATCAACAAAACGGAAAGAGTCATTTCTCTACTCGTGCTTCAGCCTGTTTTTTTGGACACAACACAACATGACCATGAGCATGAACTGGTGATCCCGGATGACTGTCCATTAAAAGCTCCACCTATACACTATAATATTCTACCAAGGTGGTGTCACATGAAAGGGAACACCTAGCCTTGACTCGGCATGAGTCCACAACCTACTCTTTCGGCCTACGGCTCCGCTCCTGGGGTCACCGATAGCCTTCTCATAAACTACTGTCTTGTTTCCCTGATGATCCTCCTACGCCTCCTCGTATCGTCACCCAAGTCAGATTCTCCTCCTCGGTTACGTGCCCTCACCTCGGGTCACTCTAACCGATATATGATAACTGATCAGAGACTCAGCCCCAGGCAATAAGTCCGTTGACACACAGTCGAATCAGCATCATCATGAAGCACCACACAGTTGCCGTCCTGGCAATTGTGCCACACTTCACAGCTCGACTTCTGTCAGCCTTGTGGCAAATGACATGTTGGGCCATCCACGCTTTGTCTCCACAAAAAACGCACACGGGAGCATTTAGACTCATACACCAAAGTTCTAATGCACAAGATCAACTTCTACTGAACTAAAATAATACACAGAATTACTGCTAAAAATTCACCGATAACTGAACATGAATTCACAGACAGTGGAACATGCGCCCGCAAACTCTGACTTGCTGAACCCAAGACCCATGGTCCCCCTTTAGCTCCTTATCCGAGCCCCACAAGGTTCTCGCTAAGCGCGTGCAAGTCACTGTTATTCGTGTGCACATCATGAATCTTTGCACTCGTCTCTCACCTCAAGCCACATGTACCCTTTTTGCCCACGTCTCTATTACCATCATCATTCTGTGCCCTACGACTGGCGTAGGCAGTCACACCTCTGACTAGCCTAGTGAATTTAGTAGGCAACACAGATATCACTACCTATCTGTCAACACCCTTTTAAGGACACATGAAGAAGAATAAACCCATCATTTTGTGCTATGCAAAATGGTTTAGGCGACAGTGTCTGCTCCTATCTATTTCCCAATTAGTGGCCTCCAATAAACTTCCCGTCCTTTTTAGGATGAAATTGTTCATTATTTGAAGCCTTGCTCTGGCTCTTGCCAGGGGCCGCAATATAGTCTGGCCATAAATTTGGCCTAGAGGCTGAACGCGGTTTCTGGGACCTCTCTACGTTGATCCTCACCCGCATGGTGGCACATTGTGTCATCGGGTGTTTATCGCTTGTGTGATGTCCTGGTGGGGTTGAAAGTCAGTCCGATCTATTCTTCCAGAAAATCTAGCATATGCAAATTCATATGTTATGTCTGGTACGCATCTGTATTTTTATTTTGTGTGTGCTTGTCTCAAACCCAGGCATCTTTAGATTGTGCGGTGGAGTATGCCACAAAAAGGCAGTCGTTTGGATCTCCTATTGCCAAACTCCAGGCCATTCAGGTGAGTGATGTTTTGACTTTTTCCATGTCTATATTTCTCTGTAGAGGGGTTACATTATACCTGAATGTATGCTTTGATTTACTTGGTACCCTCGATGAAACTTTCTTATGCCGGGGATTATTTTACCTTTTCATTTCTATTGTCATAGTTTTTCTCTGTGTCATTCAAGTGTAGTTTAAACAAAATCTTAAACACTTTGAACTATATCATCATATAGAAAAGTTATATGTATACATGGTGGACAGAAAAATGATCACAGGGTCAGTAGAAAACTTATATGTGGATATGAATTGTGGATAGAGTAGGACCATAGGATCAATAGAACAGTTATATGCAGATTTGAGTTGTGGATAGAAAGGATTAGAAGAAAAGTAATGTGTGGATAGAGTAGGACCATAGGATCAGTAGAAAAGTTATTTGTGGACTTAAGTGGTGGATAGAGTAGGATCATAGGATCAGTAGAAAAGTTATTTGTGGATTTGAGTGGTGGATAGAGTAGGATCATAGGATCAGTAGAAAAGTTATTTGTGGATTTGAGTGGTGGATAGAGTAGGATCATATGATCAGTAGAAAAGTTATTTGTGGATTTGAGTGGTGGATAGAGTAGGATCATAGGATCAGTAGAAAAGTTATTTGTGGATTTGAGTGGTGGATAGAATAGGACTACAGGATCAGTTGTTGTTGTTGTTGTTGTTATCGATCCAGCGGCGCATGAGCTTTCGCCCTTTGGCCCAATGCCATGTAGTGGAATTTGCATGTTTTCACAAGCTGTTCTTTTCCTCCGTACAAGGTGTTCCACTTGTCTGGTCTCGGAGGGAGTAGCGTTCTTCTTGTCTCACTGAGTTTTGGGCACTCAAAGAGATGGTGTTCAACAGTTTCGTAGGGGTAGTTACTTAGCTGGCACTCTGGGGAGTGTTGTGGCTGTATTCTGTTTAGGTGTCCATTGAGTGGAGTATGTTGCGTTCTAAGTCTGAAGATGGTGGCCTGGTCCCTTCTTGTTAGATGGTTAATGCTGTCATTAGGATCAGGGCCAGACATATGTCTATAAACCTCTCTTCCAGTGTCTCCCATGGCCCATCTGTTCAACCAAGTCTCTTTGTTTATAGCTCTTATCAGTGTTTTTGCTGTCTGGAGGGTTGTTGCTGTAGGTGGTTGTTCTTGTGTTGCTCCTTTCTTTGCCAATCTGTCAGCTCTGTCATTACCTGGTGTGCCGGAGTGACCTGGGATCCACTGCATCACTATTCTGATGTTGTATGAGGTAATAAGCTGATCAGCATCCAGGATTATCTTGGCTATGTCAGTTCTGCAGCGTTCACTGCCCTCCAGAGCTTGAAGGGCAGACATTGAATCTGTGAATATGACAATATTTTGGACCTTTGAAGGGTAAACATCCATTACAGTCTTTAGGTGGTATACTGCTGTTTCCAGTGCAATTATTTCAGCTTCATAGTTTGAACAGAATTCCCCGCATGCATCAAAAATCTCTTCAACAGATCCATCGGGATAACCTATGTAGATTCCGTAACCTGCTTTAATGGTAGCTTTAAATGCTGAACTATCAGTATAGACATGTATCCATTCTTGGGGGTAAGAATCAACGGTCTTTAGTGATGAGTTCATAAGAGCGATTGGGTCGGACTGTTTGGTTTCCTCGCCTACCAATTTAGTTCGGACTTCTGGAGCTTTAAAGCGAGCATGTGGTGGTAGGTTTCTTGCAACATTCTGAATTCCTTGACGTCTTTCTGGGAGGTGGTATCTGTCCTGAATTTCATTAACACAGTGTAAAACCGATTTGTGCTTTATTCTTTGTTTGGATTCCCAGTTTTCTACAAGATGTCTATTAGGATGGTTACGATTTTTCCTAACGCATCTTTCATAAATTTCTAAAGTGGCTTTTTCTCTCCACAACCCGAGGAGTTCCACATTTGTATGGATTTCACATGCAGCAGTTGGTGTAGACTGCATTGCTCCGCAGATTAATCGGAGGGCATTATTTTGTACTCTGTCAAGAGTCTCTAGGTTAGTTTTGGAGCAAGTTGTAAGCAGTGAGTTGTTGTACTCTATCACAGAGCGAACATATCCTAGATATAAGCCCCTCAGAGTTTCCTTGTCTGATCCCCATGATGTACCTGCAAGTCTCTTTAATAACTGTAACCGCCTCAATGCCTTATTCCTGATGTTTTCAATATGGTTCTTGAGGCTGAGCTGCCGGTCAAGTGTGACTCCAAGGTATGTGGGATGCTCTTCTTTCATCACTTGGTGTTTGTCTAACCTCAGGTTAATATTCTTCCTTGCTACTTGGTGGCTTTTGGTAAAGATTGTGTAGACCGTCTTTGCACAGTTAACCTTGAGTTTCCATCTTTGGCAGTACTCATGCAGTCTTCTAAGGTCTCCATTCAATCTTTGGGCTCCACTTTCCACATTTTCATGACTCTGCCATATTGCTAGGTCATCAGCGTACAAGGCTTTTTCGGCCTTGATTTGTTCTGGCAGGTCATTGATAAAGATTAGGAATAGTGTACAGCTCAATGATGAGCCTTGTGGCAAGCCCTCCTCCAAGACTTCTTTAGAAGAGATTGCGTTGTGCATCTTAGTCTGGATTGTTCTATCTATCAGGAAGTATTTCACCCAGTTATACAATCTGCCATGTATTCCTATGCTCATCATCTTCATCAGGAGACCTTTTCTCCATACTCTGTCATAGGCCTGCTGGAGGTCGACAAAGACTGCCACTGTGTGTTTCTTATTCTGGAAGCCATCATGTATTCTTTGTGTCAGTCTGAACAGCTGGTCTTCTGTGCAGCTGTTGGTTCTGAAGCCTGCCTGTTCATGGCATAGAACACCAGAACTCTCAAGGAACCAATATAAGCGCCTGTTTATCATTCTTTATGCAACTTTGCCCAAGCATGATGTTAAGGATATCGGGCGGTAGCTTTTGGGGTCATCTGGAGGCTTTTTGGTTTTAAGAATGGGGACGATATATGCATTCCTCCATGCCTTTGGAAGTTTGCTTGACCTCCAAGTTTGATTAATAAGCCTGAGAACTACTTCTCTCCCAGACCGGCCAAGATGTAGCAGCATTTCGTTGTGGATCTTATCTGGGCCTGGAGATTTTCTAGGTTTTAGGATCAGTAGAAAAGTTATTTGTGGACTTGAGTGGTGGATAGAGTAGGATCATATGATCAGTTGAAAAGTTATTTGTGGATTTGAGTGGTGGATAGAGTAGGATCATATGATCAGTAGAAAAGTTATTTGTGGATTTGAGTGGTGGATAGAGTAGGATCATATGATCAGTTGAAAAGTTATTTGTGGATTTGAGTGGTGGATAGAGTAGGACCAAAGGATCAGTAGAAAAGTTATTTGTGGATTTGAGTGGTGGATAGAAAAAAACCATAGAGTCAAAAAGAGAAATAGAAAAGAGCATAAGTTATTATGAGATGGATAGAAGGACCATAGATGACAAGAAAGAAAATTGCAGGAAGCAGATTGGGATTCTGGATAGACAGAAATGGTTAGGTCAAGAATGTGTCAAGTGTGCAAAGATGTACCAAATGAAACTTGCTTACTGAAAAGCTGTTAAATATCTGCATAAATACTTCCAGATAAAAGTTGCAGACATGCAAGTGCGTGTCGAGAGTGCACGTCTACTGACATGGAAGGCAGCAATGTTGAAGGACGCAAGAAGGAGTTTTACAAAGGTATTCCTTGGATTATACTGTAAAGTATCTTTATGTGTTATCATTTGATTGTTATCTTTTCTTTGTTCGTCTTTCCTGAAAACTTATCGTCAGTTAGGAGGTCCTTTACCGAACGTTGCTCTTGTCACGACACACCTGTTAGTATCTCTTTCTTCTCTAGCCAGTTCTCCAACCCTGCATGCTTTCAAAGCTAATGTTTCTTCAGTGTCTTGTTTCCACCTTCACGAAGGTGCCTTGTTTCCCAGGAAAATTTACCCTCCATCACTATTATCTCCAGGCCACCATGATGTTTAAAATGACCAAAACACCTGAGCTTTAGTTCTTGAAAATGACAGTTATAATATTGTGTCTGATTAAACCAAAGCTACAATTTAAGCCTTAACTCTAAGGTCAATCCAGCCTGAAAATAATGACCTGGGACATAAAGGCAGTCAGTGGGATGCTGACCACATCACCCATCGCATGCCAGTTTGTCTGCCACTGTATTCCTGGTAGACCAAAAACGGTCTTGTACTGCCCCCCTCCCATTTAACTCTCACCCAAGAAAGCTGTTTTCCCCGGCTTTTAAAGGTTTTGGTTGAGTGATGTCTTTGGACAGTGCCCAGTACGCCTGTATAATAGCTTTGTTACTGGCCGCAGTTATAGTATGTTGGCATTTAATAATTTTTTTTGGGGGTGGGAAAAAAAGATGTTTAAAAATTGGGTTTTATGGTGATGTCATAAAATTTCATTATAACGGAAATCCCTGGGTCTTATTATGGGTCAGAACGCCGTGGACAACATGACAGTCAACAACGCCTAGCATGGATTATCTTTTCTTCTTTCTTACTGAAATGGAGTTGCATGGTGCTGCTGTTTTCAAGTTCGGCTGTGATAGCTTTCATGCTCGACCTTCTTAAGCCTGCTCATGGAATCATTCGGAAAGTCAGCATAGGGGAAAATGTTGTATCTCTAGCCACATCTTTGCTCTTGTTACTGCTATCACCTCCCTAGTCTGACTACTTGCAGTCAAGGCAAAAAACACCGCTGTTTTCTTTTACTGTTCTCCCTTGAACCAGAACTGTAAAAGCCCATTAACTTTGTACACCTTGAACTACAGCTCCATCAGTGTAAATAACTGTACCTCTATCAGCAGAAATCTCAAGAATTAAGGTTTGAACTTCTGCCTCAACCACCAAAGGGTTTTATTGTTTGCAAATGCTGTACCGTTCCCTAGTCTTTAGGCAACCAAGACTTATCCACTGGACAGTGGAGGTTTGTGCATGGTCTGTAAGTAGTGTGACAGGATAGTGGAGGTTTGTGCATGGTCTATAAGTAGTGTGACAGGATAGTGGAGGTTTGTGCATGGTCTGTTAGTAATGTGACAGTACATGGGAGCTGACAATAGGACACTGAGCACCGTGACCTAGAAATGTTCAATCTGAAGGTTGCCAGTCATGACTGTCTGTATGTACCAACGTTCTGCTTTCGCCTGAAGATATAAATGTGTTGTGTGTTTACAGCATGGTTGTGAAATTTGTGACTTTCGGCCAACACATCTGACTTCTGCAGGCCAGTGTTGTCCAGGTTAGTTTTGAGGGACAATCTCATCGCTGCGCTGTCATCTTTGTTTCCTAGCTCACAGGTGGTGCCCCTATCAGGCCGTTCCAGACCAGCCACATAATGCTGGTCAGCCTCCAGAAAAATCAGGGACAGAACATGAGCATTCCCCACCACCCCAAGGAGGCTTCCATAAATGCAGAGCAAATACACACTGTTCTGATACTCGGCCCACCCAAGGAATCCTCACAACCTGCTCATGACTCATTCATCGCGGGCTATGCCTGAAGAAGCCCATGTGCCAAACTGAGATCACCATCAGTCTAATTGTGATTATTTCCACTGGTTTCCAGGAGGCAGCCATGGCAAAGTTAGCAGCATCTGAAGCTGCAACATTCAATGCTCACAGTGTAAGTACTCCTGACAGACAGTGTAAGTACTCCTGACTGTGTAAGTACTCCTGACAGTGCAAGTACTCCTGACTGACAGTGTAAGTACTTCTGACTGACAGTGTAAGTACTCCTGACAGTGCAAGTACTTCTGACTCACAGTGTAAGTACTTCTGACTCACAGTGTAAGTACTCCTGACTGCAAGTACTCCTGACTCACAGTGTAAGTACTCCTGACAGTGCAAGTACTCCTGACTGACAGTGTAAGTACTCCTGACTGACAGTGTAAGTACTTCTGACTGACAGTGTAAGTACTCCTGACAGTGTATAAGAACGTTCTTGTTGACTGAAAATTGTGTTTATCCTGTTTAACATTATAATTGCTAGAATGTATAAAATTGATTTTGTTCTATGTATAAAATGGTTGGGGGAAATATATTAAATTAATTTTGTTCTATGTGTAAAATGGTTGGGGGAAATATATTAAATTGATTTTGTTCTATGTATAATATGTGAATTTGAACTTAAGACCTCCCCGTATTGGTTCTGGGGCCCCAATGTAGGGAAAACAAGAATAGACCAACTGCCTCCCCAACAAGCATCTCGTAAGGGTCGACTAATTGGGAGCTTCCTTCAAAGTTGCAGTGCATCTGCCTGAGAGGCAAGGAACCAACAGTCTGCTTATGAATAAGCCACATCTGTAAAATGGATGTGCATGCAATAGTCAGGTTCTGGGAAAAGACTAAGTCCAGAAGTGGATGAACAACCAAAACTTTCTGCCAGAGCTTCTCAGGTAGAAGTAGTCAAACTTGGAGGAACGACAGCTAGTTAGTCAACTTTTACGATATGCTTTTTCTCAAAAACTGGACCCCGGTACCCACATAGAGAAACCGTGTTTAAAAATAATATTCAAACATGATTCATGTTTTATTTGCCTTTTTAAATTTGTACTGAAAAACTGACTTTCACCAGGCGATCCAAGTGCTAGGTGGAATGGGGTATGTAACAGACATGCCAGCAGAACGCCACTATAGAGATGCTCGAATTACAGAGATATATGAGGGAACCAGTGAAATACAACGTATTGTCATCGCAAGTAATGTATTCAAGGAGCTGGGACATAATTTGTAACGTACAAAAATCTCACGCTAATTTCAGGGTTTTCTTTTTTTGTTTCTTGGCTCTTTTGAGTGTCATCATATTCTCTAGTTGTATGAAATAAATGAATGCATGCATGATTGTGCTTGAAATGTTTAGATGCAATAACCCAGTGATAGGGTTCCATGTTTTGATCTTCTGAAATGAGGACACTTCTAACAGTCCATTTGTGTTTTATTTATAGTTTTCTGATGACCTGATCATGTTATAATGACTTTCTTTTGCATTAAATGTACACAAAATTGACTGCAAATGAAATATTCTAAATTCATTTTTACAAGTGAAATTGACTTGACTGAATCCACATCAAGATGATTCCTCTCATAGGGCAGGGATTTAAAAAAATAGTCTTTCTACCAAAACATTGTATGCTGGAATAGCAAAGACGAACTCTGCTATCTTTTCATAATCCACATCTTCACACTCCTACAGTTTCAATATAGTCACACTGCATTAATTTTTTTTTAAAGTGTGGTAAGATCCTGGAAAAATTCATGAGTGTCCAAAATTGTTTGTGGACACTCAGATGTACACAACAGGACTACGGCCAGTTTTTCGGCAGTGTGCCTGCTAGTGGAGCTCTTCTGTGTGCAAAGCATCCTTCATACCTAGAATCATTACTTTGTTTATTTCTAAACCTGCTTGTATGAGTGTGGGGGCACCATGTGTGTGTGTGTGTGTGTGTGTGGAAGGGGGGGGGTCTAGGATAGACCTACTGCTTCTTGTATTCATGGCGAGGCGCAGACGCCGTCTGGAGGTGACAGGTTCAGTTCCCGGCACGGTAACTATAGCTTTCGATTTTAAAGTTGTCTAGTGTGTTCTTCTATCTTTCTATGAGTGCTGATCAATACACTTTCTGTTACTCGATTAATGCATAATATTTAACGGCCTCAAAGGTTCCCCCTCTGTTTATTTATAGGAATGACGTATACACACCAGAACCTACCAATCAAATACCTTTCTTAAATGTTTGTGTATTCTAGACAAAGCAATAAGGTCTACTGTGTTCGTAAATTGTTGCTGTGATTGTTATTCGACATTTGCTTCGTTAATATAAATTTCTGTAACCTATGGTGCCATTTCAATGGGTTGAAATGAATTCTGTCCGTATTCCATAGTTGTGGATTTCAAGCTGTACGATAGACATGGCCAATAAGACACCTTTTTCGGGGTGCCTAGTTGACCATGTTCTTAGTGCACTTGTATTCATGGCGAGGCGCAGACTGGAGGTGACAGGTTCAATTCCCGGCAAGGTAACTAAAGCTTTCATGTTGTTCTATCTTTCTATGAGTGCCGATCAATACACTTTCTGTTACTCGATTAATGCATAATGCTTCTGGACAAGCATGACCTACAAAGTGCTAAGGATTTGCCAAAATCGATATTGTGCTAAAAGAACTAGATATCACAGCCTAGCTGTGAACCACTACATAATATGCCAACTGCCAGTTTAAGAGTAAACACAAATTATATTAAAACTGAGATGTTTGGTTAATAGTTGTTATTGTAATCAGCATGTCTGAGGTCATGTGTGACAGAGTACGAGGATGTTCTTGTTGACAGAAATCGGTTTTATCTTGTTGTGACTTTACATATTACGGGAATAAATTAAAAATGTTTCTATGTAACATAAAATGTGAGTTGTCTTGAATAAGTAAAGTAAAGGACTTGTTTCCACGCGTTTAGGCAAATAGGGATAGACCTATATTTTATAAACCAATCGGCACATGATGGGTGATGTGGTAAACACCCCACATTCGCCTTTACTTCCCTGGACTTTACCTGGTAATCATTTTAGGCTCGGCCGACTGCGGAGCCAAAGTTATTTTTAATCAAAATCAGACTGTCAGGACCTAAATCCATGACCTTCTGATCTGCAGGCGAGTGGCTAGTCGCTGTACCACCTCGGCTCCTTGTCCTGTATACCAAACACATATTGTTCCTTTAGTAAACAGAAGTTTCAGAGACAACGAAAATGTAAATAAAGAGTTTTATTCCATATTTTGTACATCTTGAATAAAAGTTTGCAAAATATTTAACACAAAAAAATGTTTGATATGAGGAATCCTTTTATGAAAAAATGGAACACATAATATGAAAAATTTAACACAGCAATATTGTCAGATTCTAAGATGGAGGTTTTTGCAAAACAGTTCTGTTCAAACTGAGTACCAGCTGCCTGCTTTCTAGCTGATTTTTTAAAGGTCTCGAGTTCAAATCTGCACTGTAGCAGACTTAGTAAGTGACCTTAGCTCCTGTGTAAATCCGCCCGAAAATGGAAACCAAAAAATGTTATGGGAAATAAAGGCGATTGGCCTGATGCTGACCACATCACCTACCAAGTGCCAGATGGTCCACAGACATGGATGGGCCTGGCATCATATGTCTCAAAGCAGACTGACCCGAAAAGCCTCCTCTGTTTTCTACCTTTAACCTTTTTCTCTCCAACTGTGAATGCATAATGTTTTTAAACTCCTTTAGTGTGTGGGTGAATTTGCCCCTTGATTACCTCTCTCCCACAGCATAATGAGTTCTCTTACTTCTACCATTTGGCAGAACATACTAAAAAAATCTGTCTTGCCTCATTGGTCACTACAGCTATGTATATAGCCACTTTGGCATGATGATTATTTGGTCACTTTGGTATCTCATGTGAAAATGAAATGTGTGTCAGTTTTTTTTATCAGTCTTTGCCCGGTGTAAACTCTGACAGGAAGCTCTGGTTGTTCATCCACGTGTGGACTTTGATCTCACTTTAGACCTTAAGTTTGTGTTTTTTAGGGGGACATGTAGTAAAACTAAACTAGGGGTGTTTCCTTCAAAGCCATACATCAGCCTGAAAGGCAAGGAGCCAACAGTCTGCATACACATAAGCCAGATCTGTAAAACAGATGTGCATCTGGATCAAGACCAAAGTCCAGGAGGGGATGGAAAACCAGAACTGTCCGCTGGAGTCTTCCTGGCAGTGAACTCTGAGAAAAATAAATGCAAACAATAATGGAGGTGAAATCAAATGCAAAATTCAAATTGTGCATCTACATCAAAGCCGATTCTGAACAGAACCAGTATATCAATATGAACAATCAGATCCAAAATAACAACAAAATACAAAACTGCTGACAAGATCAACAGTCTCCCTACTCACATTTAATGATATTAATATCAACAGTTAATTATGGCAGAACATCCAAACAAAGAAATGACTGTCAACAGCTAGGTGAATGATAATCTCTGCAATCCAAAACACAATTGCTGTCAATTGTTAAATATAGACAAAACCTCTCCAATTGAACAAAGAAACTGCTTTTAACAGTAAGTTATATGACAGACACAGTCTCTCCGATTCAAATACATGACTATTACCAGATTGTACGACAGACACAATCTCTCTAATTTAAATACATGACTATTATCCAGAATGTATGACAGACACAATCTCTCTGCTTCTTTAAATGATTATCAACACACTGCATGATAGACAAAATTCCAAATTCAAAAACAGAAATGACTTAACAGCTACTTGTATTACAATCTTCCTGGTCTAAAGAAAACAATTCACAACAAGGTTCCTAGTAGGAAAGACATAAAAACCTCAAGTTGCACTTAAGGAAAATCAATATCCATTTTCAGAAATGGATAAATACAAGCTTTCAAACTACACATACAAAAGCCCTGAGAAATTCAGACTTGAGAAAATGAAAAAGAAATGAAAGGAACACAACCAAATGCCGAAACAAGAAGTATGACACTACTGATCCTTTTTAGCCTCGACTGTGACGGCAGGAACTGTGGGCTTGTTCTTGTTGGCCAGGGCTTTCTTACACTGGTTGTAGACCTCGTTGAGCTGGAACTCTTTGATCATGTTGACCTGTTAGGACAATTGTATGTTTTTTTAAATAAATATAGTAAAAAGATATAAAACCAAATGAAATCCCTGTGTGGGTTCCGGGGCCCTATTATAGGGAAAACAAGAATAGACCTACTGCCTACCCAAAAGCATGTCGTAAGAGTCGACTAATTAGGAGCTTCCTTCAAAGTTGGAGTGCATCTGCCTGAGAGGCAAGGAACCAGCAGTCTGCATACAAATGAGTCAGATCTGTAAAACGGATGCACATCGTAACACTCAGGTTTTGGAACAGGACTGCAGTCCAGAAGTGGATAAACAACCAGAACTTTCCACCAGTTTTTACAGCTGGTGACCGCGAAGAAGAAGAAACCAAATGAAAAGTAGAAACATTCAGCTCCACAGTATCACAAACGGGTCTGCATGGTCTCGAAGCGTGGCGTCCATCTCGAGTGTTGGAGGTCCTGGCTTCAAGCCACAGTGAAGGCTGGGATTTTTTCACTCAGACTTATAGTAATTTCCCCCGATATCTGGGTGGTAGTAAAATTGGACGCCCATGTGTATTGTTGTGCATGTAAAAAAAAAATCCCTTGGCAGCTGGATATTAAAAAAGAGTAGCCTAACTCCGCCGCCCTGGCAAAATTTATAATTAAAAATCTACCCGAAGTATTTCATGATCCTCGCCAGTGCTATGGAGTTCATGCACTGATGTGAGATTCTTCAGACTCAGGCTTGAGTTAGAAGTAGAAGGGAGCACTTATGGGTTACTACCCTTGTGCCAGGATGCTGATCCGTCGTCTAAACCTAAGCCACATTACAAACGACAAGTGAACACTGCCTTCATCAGCACGTTCTCTAAATCTACAATACCACAAATGTAAATAAGAATACACAAAACCGCTGACAATGTATCTCTGATAGAAATCCCAAGACAAATGTCAAAGAAAGAAATAATTGAAACACTAATAAAGAAAAGTACAGTACAAAAAAAAAAAAGGCAGCCACCATGGTATGGCGGTTAGATGCTCGCCTGCAGATAGGAAGGTCTATAAGTGCGGTTTGGTCTTTGAAAATATAGGTTTAGCCCAATATGCCTGAAGGCAAGGAAAAGGGTCCTGTACTTTTACAGTACTGATGAGCACATACAGATAGTGGCAGTTCCAGGAGGCTGGGGCTCAAGAGAGAGGTGACATTAGTCAACTGTCGTAAGTAAAAGTAAAGTAAAGATTCGGGCATATGGGAAGAGCGTCCCATATTTTTACAGACCAGTCCGCACTGGGTGGGTAATGTGGTCAGCATTATGCCGGCCGTCTTTACTTCCCCAGGACAGTGAACTGTGGTGGTAGGGCTATCAAAATATGAAAAGCTTTAAAAGTGAACCAGTCAGCTTCACAATATCACAAACAAGAAGTGACCGTTCTGGCAAGAAAGCTTTCATCAGCGTATCGTGGACAGCATATATATCAGGTCCCAAATGTCTCCCCTCCAGCAAATCAGCAAATAATTAAAAGCATCTTTATCCCTACTTTATGCTGTCAGTGCTAAACATGGACAATGAATAAGGCACCAGAACAGAAAATTACATGTGAAATGGGCTATCTCTACAAGGTCACTAATAATACAAGACACAAAAAGGGACAGGGTTACGAATACCAGCATTAGAGAGAAAGTTGGAATAAGACAGTGTCTGGATTATATTGACAGACAAAGAATGAAATGGTTTGACCATCTAGTGAGAGTGTAACCAGACCAAACTGCACATGAGATTTTTATGGAAGAAAATCTGGGAGAAAGGTGAGAGGAAGACCAAGAAAGATCTGAATAAATGGTGTAGCTGAAATCGTCAAAAAGATGAACAAACCATGAGCAAAGACACCCAAAAAGCACAAGACAAATTCAGAAAACAACCTGATATCAATGAGATGACAAAAGAAGAAGTAAAAGAAGAAACCATCTGAAATAAAATAGGAAAACAGAAAGAAACAAAAACATAAATACCTTGGTAAAATCAAACTTTAATGAAATGTGCTTTGTTGGTATGGGTCTTCTTTCTTTTTCCTTTCCATCTTGAAATAAGATGACAGTTGGCAGCTGGCGAGATAATGGCCCAATGTTGATATCGTATCTGTGAAGTATTTCATCACAATTACTTGTAGAATAATTTCAGCCAACGGCAGCCACATGTATGGTATTGAGCAGTGAAATTTTAGCTCTTCTTTGTTCACCAGCTGTAAGCTCTGGCGAAAAGTCCTAGTTGTTCGTCCATTTGCACTTCAGCTTTGTGCAGGTCTTTAACTATTCTAGGTCACAATGTCATTGGTTGGGGTGTCTATTCACCTTTTTCACACACAAACAAGCTCGAACCCACAAGTTCACCCACAGAAAACACAAATTTACTCTAATAAGTTAACTCTCACTGTGAGGGGAATGTTGGATTCTGAATTAAGAATTGACGACACAGCACTTGGGACACTCCCACGAGAGCTCCGTCTCCATCTTCAGCAGCAAACGAAGAGTTCCAATTCCAATGATACCAGTAACTGTCTGATTGTACATCTTTCCCTTGAGTGTTGAGGGTCAGCCAGATCCCTGATAACTCCTTCTCAGACTGTAATGATCTATGTGTGCCTCAGCACCGTTAACTTGCTTTCAAAGGACCAGCATGTCATACTTCAGTTCACCACCAAGTGGTGAAGGACCAGCCAGTCTGTCTGTCTGCTCCTTTCCCAACACAGCATAACATGTCTCCACCTTTCTCAACATGCTCTGTGAGTCAGTTACAATCACGGCATGTTTGTACAGCTGATTCTCAAAGCCAGTGGAGGTAGCAGTGACTGTCTCCACATCCATTCTCAAACTAGACGTTGTGATATCATTTGCCAAGGTTTGTTGCACTAAGCGACGTCCATTCACTTCTGATATGAACCCTGATGCACTTTGCCTTCCTCTCAACACAGATCCATCCAATTGTAAGGGGGAAGAAGATTAGAGTCAAGCCATTCTCCTAAATAATATAAAACTCAAGGTCTAAAACAAAACCAAAGTCCACAAGTGGACAAAAAACCAGAACTTTCCATTGAAGTTTACAGCCGGCAAACACAGAGAAGAAAAGCTGACACATAAACATGTGTATGAGTACGACTGAACATCAGTACGGGTATGATTTAGCAGGTCGATACTGGAGCTGTATGCAGGCAATGGATTGAGTCACTGCAAATATCAACGGTGCGTGAAGTTATCTTTATCTCTGTGCTGGGGTATGCAGGTGATGGCAATGAAAAAGCAGAAGATTGGCTAACACTGCCATAGTTGATTCACCCGATACTGTCAATGCAATTAGAAAGAGAGGCTGATCGGACGATTCTGGGGGCAGTGTATCCCCACCACTGCTAAGAATACGAGAATTGAGAGTAAAGACCAACAAAACCAGGCATGAGAGACACACATGACGTACAAGAAGCTTTCTCAACCAGCCCAGGACTGGCACTATTAACCACAAGTCGCTGAGGTATACTCGGGAATCTGAGAGCATGCCCAAAGTGTGGTGAGCTAATCCAACTCACAAGTCAGCCCACAGAAAAATTTAACTTCACACAGATAATCTCACACACACGCACATATACACAAAATGCAGATAAGCCCACACACACGCACATAAATACAAAGTGACTTACTTATTTGCAATATTTGGAAACCTGGAGACATCCATTTTACCAAATTTGAAGTTGCTCAAATTGAACCTGAAAGATTAGAATATATTAGATATCAAACTTACAACACAAATCTATCAAAATTAATTAACATAAAAGCAGAGAAAGAAATATTCTTTCATTTCTCTTTTACCACTTCGGGTGTTGAGGGAGACATTAGATTCTGCTACCTGCTCCTCTGGCCTCTTGGATCAAAGATGCATCGTGCTGTTTCTCTGATGTTATCTTTCCATAATGTCCATGGTCTGCCCCTTGCTCTAAATTCAATGCCTCTTTTAGAAACACTAACTTATGAAGCCAGCCACAGAAAACTTCTTTGCATTCACCGGCTGTTAACTGCATGGCTTCTTCATGATCATGTGACAGGTCCCTTACAGAATGCCGCTCCCATGACAGCACCCCTGGAAGAAACTTGGTCTCTTGCCAGCTCTTCCACCTTAAGCACTCTGCTACCTAAGGTATCTCCTATGTCCAGCATTATGCTGGTCAGCCTCTGCCCCTCTTTTATGGACCATGCCCTCCATCCCTAATTTTTCAAATCCCCATGTCTTCATGAAATGAAATAAATCATTACTTTAGCAAACAAACTTACTCATTGGAAAGCTCCGAGAAAACTGGGGCAAAGTGCACAGACTTGGGCGACCAAGCCGCGTAGAAACAGATCAACCATGTCACTCTCTTGTCTCGCTCCAGCTCTTCCTGTGGACAGAAAAACAATGGGTCCTGACAAGGATTAAGAACCAGAAGTACAGCGTCGAGGAGCAAGAGACATGCTGGCGGTACTTGGATGGATGATCGCCTCAGTGATTAGTACTAGATTAATTAATTAAAATGAACTTCAGGTCAAATGAGGTGTCGCCTAAAATGAACGTTATATAGGTAGCTAAAAGAAGAATAGTGAACCAACAGAGAACTGGCGTTATAAGTCGACACATACTGGAGAGAGAGAGAGAGAGAGAGGGGGGGGGGGATACCGAAATGAGGATTTGAGTGCTTATGGACTTATCCTATGTGCAATGAGGATAATCTGTCAATTAACTAACAAGATTAATAGCCACTGACAGAGATGTGATCAGAAAGACAAATGATGAGAACACACTGCACAGAAAGAAAAAAAAAAATCTTGAAAGAAACCAAATCGGGAAGGAAGAGAACTGACTGCCCACATCAGAAGGAAGACAATATACATTCTCTGGTTATGTGATGAGAAGGAGAAAACTGGAGAAGAAAACAGGCAGAGGGAGACCAACAGAAAAGATGTTGGACTAACTGACATCACAGCATGGAAGATCATCTGTGTCAGAACCGATTTAAAGTACACGAGACAGGATGTGGACAAACATTATAACTAACTAACTACACAAAGCATGGAGTAAAAGAAAAGGTAGTACTTAGGCAGTTGCATGGGCTTGTGCTTTCGTACACACTGAGCTTGTTGATAAACTGACATAGTGCTGTTGGACAGTATGTGGTTGTAGCACAACACTGCAGAGATTAAACGGGAACAAACTCACAAAATATGTCATTTTATTTAATAGCATCATCATGATCATCATGTTCTTTGTAGAATGTCGCTCACATCGCGGTCGGCCTGGAAAAAAAAAACTGTCGCCTGCCTCATGTACTTTCTTACTCAAGGAGTCATTTATATTCTGTGCCTATCTTAGTGTCGGTCGGCCCCTCCTTCCTGGCACTATGCCTTCTGCTATTATTTTTCCCAATCCTTCATGGCACTTGATATGACCAAAATATTTCAGCTTCCTTTTTTTAATACCAGGTATACAAAAATGACATGAGAGCAACATCATTATTACACTACTCTATGTTTCTTTCTTTATTTTATTGATTACACTTATATCAACATGAACACACCCCACTTCAACAAATAACAGGTGTGGGTAGCTAGTGTTATCTGCTGAGAAAGAATTCTATCTACTTTCTTCCTGTTTCCTTCCTGAAAGTTCACCAGCTCTCTTCCTCTCAGCTCATTAGCATATCATGTCCCAAGAAAGTAACGATTCTCTGATGTTAACATGACTGCATGAACTCAGAGTGAAGCCTGGTGAAGCAAGTCGGTGCCATCTTTGAGATCAAGAAAAGGAGACAATATTTATAACTCCTTTTGGGAAGTCAGTAGAGGTACCTTGGGGTAGTTGTTGCATCGGACTACTAAGCCCACAATGGAAATGCCCAATGTGCAGTGATGCTGATTTTGATAATATAACATTGCATAAAAACTATATTAGTTAGTTGCGTATCCTTTACAGGACGCTGCAGAACCAACCCTAACAGCCCCTGGCTGTTGTCTGGTTTCTCTAGGCAATTTACATCCAGTAGTTTGCCATTGCTTTTTGGACGGTTACTATTTAATAAATATAAAACACACACAGAAACCACATATCTCAACTGTACGGGACACAAACAAACATAACAGAGTGACTTACAGGAAGATTGACACCTCTGAAATAGACAATATTTTCAGGCCCTTGGTAAACAGGTTTGGGGAAGAACAACACATGACCTGCAGAACAAAGAATACAATGAATCAAGTGTTAAGTCAGTAACTCCTTCAATTCATATTCTTCTGGGTCTCCATCCGCCTCTTGCTATTTCCATTTTAATCTTGCACACACACCCTGTCTGCAAAGCTGCAGTCATTCTCATTAGATGGCCAAACCCTTTCAGTCTGTTTCTCAATAAATCTATCATTTGAAAAGTTTCTAGTATCTTCCTTTCTCATAGATCTCTTCTGGGTTTGTTCAAACATCTCAGAGCTCCTTTAAGGATGAAGCTGTGACAGATCCAGCAAACTGGTAGATGATTAAAGTGTTCGCACACACAACTGCTCTAGAAATTACGGTGCACAATAAAAAACTGCTAAAATTTTAATACTTTATTAACTAACTGTGCCAGGTCTCATTACAAAATGACATGATAAAGGCAACCAAAACTCACCAATACACAGCAGAACATACAGTATTCCATAAGCTGGGTTGTAGTTGAAGAAACAGATAACACTCAGGGCCTTCACAAACATGCAGGCAGTCGACACATACTCTGCAACGGACGCTGTTGACAGAAATTATTACAATTCAATTAGAAAATGTTGTTTGGAACTGACCGATGTGTTTGTGGGTGAAGATGAAACATCTGCCTCTAACTCAGAAAAAACCTGGATTATAATCTCTGTTTATCCCCATGTGGGGCCCCATTTGAGGGGTGAAGGAGAGGAGCAGACCAACTGCTGCCCCTAACAAGCATACTGTAGAAGATGACTAAGTAGGGATGTTTTCTTCGAAGTCAGGAGTGCATCTGCCTGAGAGGTGAGGAACTAACAGTCTGCATAAAAATAAGCCAGATCTCTAAAACGGATGTGCACATAAAACTCAAGTTCTGGAACAAAACTAAGTCCAGAAGTGGATGAACAACCAGAATTTTTCACTACAGGTTACACCTAGTGAACGCTAAGTAAGGAGAATCCCTGGTCAGATATGAGATTATTATTTCATCATTATCATATGAGCAATCCAAATTCATCAACTGAAATGATTACCAGCTTTGGACCAGGTCTGTGTTCTTGCCCCAATTATGTCTTTTGGCTCAGTCATTTACACATTTATATTTGAATAACTCTTCCTCTTGTCTACACAGGCAGGCCTTATCAAAGTAGGAAATCATGAACCTTGGAGAGATCAAGTTTCACTTTATCCTTTGCTACGTAGTAGCATACTTGAAAAGTGCCCCTAACACCTCATTTTGTTCAACCGGCTGGAGGACCCTCTTTGGGGTAAAAACAACAAAAGAACAAATGCACTTATGAGAAAACAAGGTGGACTGATCAAGTTCGTGGCACATGCTAAAAATGTGAATTCTACATATACTTTCTCTAAAAAAACAAAAATTTGCAGTTTTCCATTTTGAAGGACTGCTTCATTGTCTGCACCACAGCTATGAACCATCCAAAGCCAAAAAGCGGTAAAAATAGTGGTGACTGTATCAACGGATTGTTGTATAGTTTAGTCCACGTTGAGAAAGGCTCTGGTTGAAATGTTGATTTGCATTGTTTTGTGCACGTTGTCTTGCTTCCCTATTTCATTTAGTTTTTTTTTTAGCCACAGTTCACTGGATTTATTTCAAAGTCAAAAAGCACATACCAGAGTCACCCAAAAAACAGGAAGCAACCTCCAGGCCCCTCAGATACAAACAAACGTCCGAGGCACTCTGGCATACACATGAGACTACACTGCTATTTAGACAGTCTTCTAATTCTTAGTCTATGCTGTGTGGTGTTGGAAGTTATTCTATCCACAGCCTTGTGCATTTTCACACCTTCCTGGCACATATAATCATCCATGCCATGATGTCGACTGCCTTTTCTCACTTCTCACTCTTTTTCTTGTCCCCTCTAACTTTCCCAACACCACAATGTATTCCAGTTTTCTCTTTCTCATGACATGACCACAGAATTTAGACGGTCTCTTGTGGGCACGGCTCAGAGAAAGAAATAGCAACCTGCTGGGAGTACCTTGCAAAGCAAAGTCACGTCTGTACAGAAACCAATCGAACCTCTGTCCTGTGACAATCAGTTTTCAACATTTTGGCTCTGAGTAAACTTAGCTGAATAGTCCTGATCTAGGCCACGACAAGGTGGGATGCTCAGTTACCTTTCTCTTCAACGTTTCTTCTGGTAAATTCTCAAAACTAAAGTGAAACCGCGGTGTGGAAAAAAATAACAGCAGAAGGCATGGTCCAAGGAAAGGGGCCAACCATCAAAAAGATGGGAACAGGATATAAGTTGTCGCTTGGAATTCGTGTTAACGATACTGTAGTATCCATTTTTAAAAGTTGGATGGACCCCCAGAATGCTTGTCAGACAAAGAAGAAATATGCCACAAATGTTGAATTAGGAATTGATATCACAGCACTCTGGACACTCCCATAAGTGCTCCAGCTCCCTCTTCAGCAGCAAGCGAAGAGTTCCAATTTCGACAGCATGAGTAACTGTCTGTATTATCTGTCTTGCCTTTCCCTTGAGTGTTGATTGTCGACCGGATCCCCCGGTAACTCCTCGCAGTGCAATTCTCCTCAAACCATAATAATATATTTGTGTCTCAGCACTGCTCTCTCGCTCACAAAGGCCCTCACAATATCTATATCACAATAGCTCATCATACATCAATTCACCAAGAGGTGTAGATCTGCCCAGTCTATCTGCCTGCTTGTTCCCCAATATACTGGCATATTTGGAAAAATATCCAAAGGATGCTAACTACTCTGCACTTCTGAAATGATGCTTGCTACTCGGCACGGAGCACGCCTGTCCCCGTCTTTCTCAACATGCTCTGTAAGTCAATTACAGTTACGACATGTGTGTACAGCTGATTCTCAAGTCAGCAAAAGGCAACAGTGACTGCCTCCACCTCTATTCTCAAATTAGATGTCGTGATATATATCACAAATAAGCAATGAAGAAGTGGGCCTCCATGTCAGTCACTTACAGCAGTGTTCTTCAACCCATTGCTGTGGGAAAGTCCAGATGGACAGCCAACAAATTCTGCTTAATCCTGTAATGAGGTCGGGCAAATGGTTTTTCTCTTCCAGTCTGCAGGATTAACACCTCAAGGACTCCACATTTGAGTGAAAAGACTTTCTCAGGCATGCAAATAATTTTTAAAAAAAACAGAGAATGGATGTTAATGTGGTGCTTTGTCTATCAGAAACAATGCTCCAGCCATAGATATCAGATTCTTCAACCTCTAAGCAGCAGCAGATGTTGCATTAGCTAAAAATGGTAAATTTCAAACTTAAGAAATGAATTGCTATCTGCAAATTAAAATTCTGAGAGCATGCACCTTCTCTGTAGCAACATATGGATGTGAGTCGTGAACTATGTCCCAGCGCTTAACAAAGAAAACAGAGGCTTTTGAGATGAAATGATATAGAAAGATTCTCGAAATAGCATGGACAAAGAAGAGAAGAAATATTTACATTTTAAGAGACCTGAACATCAAGGAAGATCAGCTAATAAATAGCATTTTGTCTCAGAAGCTGAAATACATTAGTCATATCAAGCGCCATGGCATACTGGAAAAAATAATAACAGAAGGCATGGTACCAGGAAGGAGGGGCAGGGGTTTCTTTTAGGCTTTTTAGTTTCTTTTTTTCTTTTCTTTTGCATTCTGCAAAGGACCTGCTACATGATGATGATGATGATGATGACTGCCATCTACATTTGTGTTTGGTTAGCTGCCAGGTGAGCTGTGAAACGATTTACTCTGTTTTGGCAGGCCGCTGATGAAAACAGGGTTGGAGAACACTGATTTACACAACACGGACAACTTACGAGTCTTTCTGTTCTTTAGAACAACCACACAGGCCATGAATGTCAGCCATTCCCACTCTCTCTGAAAAGGCAAAAAAGCTTTGCAAGTTATTCAAACGCAACACTGTCCTACACCAAACATCCTAAACCACTATCAGACAAATTGTGGGAACGACACCTTGTACTAGATTCATCGAGAAACAGCAGATCAAGTGGTTTGGCCATCTCGTTACAATGCAGCAAGATTAAAACCATCACAAGCCCTACATCTCAGAAGATCAGCTACAAGAGCAAGAGGACGGCTGCGGAAAAATGTATCGACAACATTAAAGACAATCTAAGCCTTCACTGCATGACAATAGCAAGTGGCAGCCAGCGTGCACTGAATCGCAAACTATTCCTCCCCACGTCGCTTAACGGCAGAAGTGGTTTATGATGATGATCCTAAACCAGAACACTGTATGGTACAGTAAAGTTTACACTAGGGACAACACAGCCAACAGAGATAATCTATTTCAAACGAACAAAAGAAGAAAAAAGAACGGCATGGTGAATGCCCTGGCAAACAGTCATATTTCTGCACTTCTTATTAAACCGCTGAAAAAAATATTTTGGCCCCACCATATACTAGAGGGTTGGAAATACAATGCTTAAAACTGTGATAGAAATTATAATAGCTATCTTTTCACCTGTCAATATTGCTGTTAAGGATGTCAAGCACATGACATCATGGTGCATTTTAACACAATGATATCAAATGACATTTTGAAGATGGCTGCTCCCCTGTTGGCTTGTGATGAGATGATTTCATTGCAAAAACTAATATTTTAGAAATAAAGGATTATTCCTGCACCTGTTTGAGATAGAAGACAGCAATAACATATAATTTGTGCAACAACCAAAATCTTGGAGGTAATAGTTTCAGCTTCAAATAGGTCACTCCATAGTTGTTCCACTCCTTTGCTAATGAAAAAGATGCAGAAAGTCCGTCACTGTCCCTTGTGGAAAAATTTACACAGACTGCAGTCTCAGTATCTCCACAAGCATACACATGCTTTAAAAGCATAAGGCAGCCATCAGAGGTGTTAACACAAACAGTCCAACATTAGAAATGCAGTTCATGATTGACAGAAGCAGCAGCTACAAACAGATTAGCAAGTGAACACGTGATCAATTTTAATCACATAAGGCACAACCAATTTTGTGACAACAGGCCAGATGCAATTTCTGAATCTACAGTTTACAACACCAGGCTGGTCAGTCGAAAAAAGTTCCAAATTAAATATGCATCTCACAGTGTCACACCACACACTCACTCAGTAGCTGGGTGATAAAACTATATACTTTGAGTCTACAAATTAAGGAAAATGCAACAGTCAGCAACATAAGAAAAAAAGATTTTCCACAACTAAAAACAATGAACACGCTTATCCTCCATTTTGACAGGAAGTGCTAAGTTTGTTGAGTGGTTTGTATTGAAAGAGTTAAAAGCTTATCTAGCAATGACTGTCTCATAAATTAAAACCTGATACATAAAATATGACTGGAGTATCTAAGAGAACTGCCACTGTACTTACTGTTCATGAATTATCCTTAATGTGAACAATGAGGAGGCACGAACAGATCATAAAGATCTGAATAGAGGGGTAGGGCCAGGAATGACCAGGGGATCTGGTCGACAGTCTACACTCAGAGGAAAGGAAAGGCGGACATATAATACAAACTGCTATTTGCACAATTGAAATTGGAACTCTCTGCTGGCTGCTGAAGATGGGGATGGAGGACATATGGCAATAAACTGAGTGCTGTGATATCAGCTATTAGCTCACACTCATTGTACTTTTTCAATGTTGGCATATTTCTAGACAAGAATGTTATATTAAAAGGTAAAGGTGACAGGATCTGCTTCATTCCACTGGGTTTTATCCCATATGGCTCAGTCTCTCCCCCCAGAACAGCTAGATGCCTGGCGAGAGTATCGCACAGAGCACAACCTCCTTAGCTCTGGTGACAATCCCCAGGGATCTCTTAAGAACTGCACTCATGAGCTAAACGGTGCCGCCATCAGACGAACCCATGACCTTCAGAGTGTGAGACAAACGACTTGACCACTTCACCACGGAGACCCCCAGTGTTATATTGTGCTATCACAGTCCATGAAGGACGATGGTGAGTAGGACAAGCAAGATCTGCTCGGTGAAGACTTTTACAATAAGAGAATGGGATTTCAGTTTTACAGTAAAAGAATAGGATTTCAGTTTTACAGTAAGAGAATGGGATTTCAGTTTTACAATAAGAGAATGGGATTTTAGTTTTACAGAAAGAAAATGGGATTTCATATTTACAGTAAGAGAAACGGATGTCAGTTTTACAATAAGAGAATGGGATTTCAGGGCCGGCGATGCCGTCACATGTATTTAACATGCTTCACATGTGCCCAACCCTTAACCTGCCCAACCCTTAACCTGCCCAACCATTAACCTGCCCAACCCTTAACCTGCCCAACCCTTAACCTGCCCAACCATTAACCTGCCCAACCCTTAACCTGCCCAACCCTTAACCTGCCCAACCCTTAACCTGCCCAACCCTTAACCTGTTGTATATTCAACATAGATATAGTACAGAAAACTAGTCCCATGTCTTGACCACACTGGTTATGGCTTACAGTCTTCATTCCATCTGTTGACCCAAGTTGTAAGTGCTGGGTGTCTTAGATTACCCTCTTGACCCAAGTTGTAAGTGCTGGGTGTCTTAGATTACCCTCTTGACCCAAGTTGTAAGTGCTGGGTGTCTTAGATTACCCTCTTGACTCAAGTTGTGAGTGCTGGGTGTCTTAGATTACCCTCTTGACTCAAGTTGTGAGTGCTGGGTGTCTTAGATTACCCTCTTGACTCAAGTTGTGAGAGCTGGGGGTCTTAGATTACCCTCTTGACTCAAGTTGTGAGTGCTGGGGGTCTTAGATTAACCTTTTGACCCAAGTTGTGAGTGCTGGGTGTCTTAGATTACCCTCTTGACTCAAGTTGTGAGTGCTGGGTGTCTTAGATTAACCTTTTGACCCAAGTTGTGAGTGCTGGGTGTCTTAAATTACCCTCTTGACTCAAGTTGTGAGTGCTGGGGGTCTTAGATTAACCTCTTGACTCAAGTTGTGAGTGCCGGGGGTCTTAGATTACCCTCTTGACTCAAGTTGTGAGTGCTGGGGGTCTTAGATTACCCTCTTGACTCAAGTTGTGAGTGCTGGGTGTCTTAGATTAACCTTTTGACCCAAGTTGTGAGTGCTGGGTGTCTTAAATTACCCTCTTGACTCAAGTTGTGAGTGCTGGGGGTCTTAGATTACCCTCTTGACTCAAGTTGTGAGTGCTGGGGGTCTTAGATTACCCTCTTGACTCAAGTTGTGAGTGCTGGGTGTCTTAGATTAACCTCTTGACTCAAGTTGTGAGTGCTGGGGGTCTTAGATTACCCTCTTGACTCAAGTTGTGAGTGCTGGGTGTCTTAGATTAACCTCTTGACTCAAGTTGTGAGTGCTGGGTGTCTTAGATTACCCTCTTGACTCAAGTTGTGAGTGCTGGGTGTCTTAGATTAACCTCTTAACTCAAGTTGTGAGTGCTGGGTGTCTTAAATTACCCTCTTGACCCAAGTTGTAAGTGCTGGGTGTCTTAGATTACCCTCTTGACTCAAGTTGTGAGTGCTGGGTGTCTTAGATTACCCTCTTGACTCAAGTTGTGAGTGCTGGGTGTCTTAGATTACCCTCTTGACTCAAGTTGTGAGGGCTGGGTGTCTTAGATTAACCTCTTGACTCAAGTTGTGAGTGCTGGGTGTCTTAGATTAACCTCTTAACTCAAGTTGTGAGTGCTGGGGGTCTTAAATTACCCTCTTGACTCAAGTTGTGAGTGCTGGGTGTCTTAGATTACCCTCTTGACTCAAGTTGTGAGTGCTGGGTGTCTTAGATTAACCTCTTGACTCAAGTTGTGAGTGCTGGGTGTCTTAGATTAACCTCTTAACTCAAGTTGTGAGTGCTGGGTGTCTTAGATTACCTTCTTGACTCAAGTTGTGAGTGCTGGGTGTCTTAGATTAACCTCTTGACTCAAGTTGTGAGTGCTGGGTGTCTTAGATTAACCTTTTGACCCAAGTTGTGAGTGCTGGGTGTCTTAAAATAAACCTTGTGACCCAAGTTGTGAGTGCTGGGTGTCTTAGATTAACCTCTTGACCCAAGTTGTGAGTGCTGGGTGTCTTAGATTAACCTTTTGACTCAAGTTGTGAGTGCTGGGTGTCTTAGATTAACCTCTTGACCCAAGTTGTGAGTGCTGGGTGTCTTAGATTACCCTCTTGACCCAAGTTGTGAGTGCTGGGTGTCTTAGATTAACCTCTTGACCCAAGTTGTGAGTGCTGGGTGTCTTAAATTACCCTCTTGACTCAAGTTGTGAGTGCTGGGTGTCTTAGATTACCCTCTTGACTCAAGTTGTGAGTGCTGGGTGTCTTAGATTACCCTCTTGACTCAAGTTGTGAGTGCTGGGTGTCTTAGATTAACCTCTTGACTCAAGTTGTGAGTGCTGGGTGTCTTAGATTAACCTCTTGACTCAAGTTGTGAGTGCTGGGTGTCTTAGATTAACCTCTTGAACTGGGTGTTGACTCAAGTTGTGAGTGCTGGGTGTCTTAAAATAAACCTTGTGACCCAAGTTGTGAGTGCTGGGTGTCTTAGATTAACCTCTTGACCCAAGTTGTGAGTGCTGGGTGTCTTAGATTAACCTCTTGACTCAAGTTGTGAGTGCTGGGGGTCTTAGATTACCCTCTTGACTCAAGTTGTGAGTGCTGGGTGTCTTAGATTAACCTTTTGACCCAAGTTGTGAGTGCTGGGTGTCTTAAAATAAACCTTGTGACCCAAGTTGTGAGTGCTGGGTGTCTTAGATTAACCTCTTGACTCAAGTTGTGAGTGCTGGGTGTCTTAGATTAACCTCTTGACTCAAGTTGTGAGTGCTGGGTGTCTTAGATTAACCTCTTAACTCAAGTTGTGAGTGCTGGGTGTCTTAAATTACCCTCTTGACTCAAGTTGTGAGTGCTGGGTGTCTTAGATTACCCTCTTGACTCAAGTTGTGAGTGCTGGGTGTCTTAGATTAACCTCTTGACTCAAGTTGTGAGTGCTGGGTGTCTTAGATTAACCTCTTGACTCAAGTTGTGAGTGCTGGGTGTCTTAGATTAACCTTTTGACCCAAGTTGTGAGTGCTGGGTGTCTTAAAATAAACCTTGTGACCCAAGTTGTGAGTGCTGGGTGTCTTAGATTAACCTCTTGACCCAAGTTGTGAGTGCTGGGTGTCTTAGATTAACCTCTTGACTCAAGTTGTGAGTGCTGGGTGTCTTAAATTACCCTCTTGACTCAAGTTGTGAGTGCTGGGTGTCTTAGATTACCCTCTTGACTCAAGTTATGAGTGCTGGGTGTCTTAGATTAACCTCTTGACTCAAGTTGTGAGTGCTGGGTGTCTTAGATTAACCTCTTGACTCAAGTTGTGAGTGCTGGGTGTCTTAGATTAACCTTTTGACTCAAGTTGTGAGTGCTGGGTGTCTTAGATTAACCTCTTGACTCAAGTTGTGAGTGCTGGGTGTCTTAGATTACCCTCTTGACTCAAGTTGTGAGTGCTGGGTGTCTTAGATTAACCTCTTGACTCAAGTTGTGAGTGCTGGGTGTCTTAGATTAACCTCTTGACTCAAGTTGTGAGTGCTGGGTGTCTTAGATTAACCTCTTGACTCAAGTTGTGAGTGCTGGGTGTCTTAGATTAACCTTTTGACTCAAGTTGTGAGTGCTGGGTGTCTTAGATTAACCTCTTGACTCAAGTTGTGAGTGCTGGGTGTCTTAGATTAACCTCTTGACTCAAGTTGTGAGTGCTGGGTGTCTTAAAATAAACCTTGTGACCCAAGTTGTGAGTGCTGAGTGTCTTAGATTAACCTCTTGACCAAAGTTGTGAATGCTGGGTAAAGGTAAAGTCGGGTTGTGTGAATTAGCATCCTTGCACACGGTTATAAGCCATAAGTGCTCTGCCACCAGTACGGACAGCTGATAAGAATTGTCCGCCTGTGTCGCCGTTCGCACGTAACTGTAGCTACAGTGACGTTCCTCCATATCCCCCGAAGTATAACTCTGGTACCAATTTCCTAGAGGCTAGGTGAACCCCCGGAAGCAGCCCGGTTTCGAACACCGACCGTGGGCTGCAGCGAGTCACAGCTGGATTTGAAAGCGAGCTTCTTATCGACTGCGCTATCGCTGCCCCTTTAGTGCTGGGTGTCTTAGATTAACCTCTTGACCACTGTTGTTGGTGCGAGTGTCTTAAATCTCATCACACAGACTATGAGTGTGACTGCTGAGTATCTTAGCTGCATCTGTTGACTCCAGCTGCGACTGTTTATGTCACAACCATTCTGACATGGCAGTGGTGACAACGACTATATGTCTTAACACCGTCTGGACCATGTCTACTAAGGGACAGCAGCTAGAAACTAGGACAGGGTTTTTAACTAAGCTTACTCACGGCCAAAAGGTTGGAAAATGGGGATCATCGTGGGCCACAGAGGTCTGAATGCTAGCATAGAAAGATTAATACAACTGGCATGTTTTCCATTGGCCACTTGCTAGGTCTCTGCTGGCCAGATTTGGTGCAAGGGTCGCCAGTTGAAAAGCCCTGAACGAGGTTTCTTGTTCTTAACTTTATCTGTTGACTTTTCATAAATGACTGTTAGAAAATGTAGGTGTCTCAATGCCACCTATTTACTCTGATTACTTGGACACAATCCTTGACCCTGATTTGACTCAGGCTGCCCGGTTAATTTGCTAATTGTGTTTAAATATTAATAATATATTAATATATTACATCTATTTTTTTACAACAAATCTGCAGGAAATTAATTTCATATAATTTGTCATTTGAAATGACCTTCTCGTTTTTACTTACCATTTCCAGCTGACAAGAGTTAAACAAGAAATCGCATGCTTTCGGAGTGTGTTTCAGAATAAAGTATAAGGCAGAAAGTAAAATGTTTGTAAAATAATGAATATTTAACAAAGGTCTCAAATCGTTAATGTTTATCAAAGCCATCACAGAGGTTTCAGTGTCTGCTTCTTCTCCCTGTAGCCGGAAATGATCGGATGAAAACTTTTCTCTTATAGATTTCTATAAAAATACAACCGATAGATCTTGGATACAGCTTTAACGAAATAACAAAAATATTAAACATAAATAAACATCTTATATCTCCTATATTGTGCTAGAAGTAGAAACAAAAATCAATACAGTAACTGATAAATTATGTCTGAGATAAGAAGAGGAGAGGAGCATAATTACATAGCCAATAATCAAGGAACTTATTATGATGTTAGCCATGCTATTTGATGCCTTTAGGTTTCTATAACAATTATATTAATAGGCGTGAATTTTTTTTATTTATTATTGAATTTAGACTGAGAAAGTGTTATTCTCTTTAAAAATGTCCTCACCACTATTTTTTTTTGTTTTGTAAATATTAAAAAAAATTATACTTTTTACGTGTATACATTACTTTGTACTATCAATATGGTAGCGCCCAGCCGTTTTGTCCAACAATTGTGATTTTATTATTTCACAGATGGAAAATCTTTACGAGATTTTACAGTCAGATCCCGGAGCGTCTACTGAGCAACTTCGAGATTCATATAAAAGGCTGGTACGTTTATACCACCCTGACAAAAATCTCCAAACATTGTTGCTTAGCAACAACCATGAAACAAGTTCAGCAACAGAAAACACCCAGAACGCTGATAAATTCATTATTATTGACAGAGCATGGAAGATCTTGAGCGACCCAGAACTGCGATCTCAGTTTGACGCAAAATGGCATGATCGCAATCTGGCGCAGGAGCTGCCTATTCAAGACGAGGTACTGTTTGAAGATTTCGATTACACTGACGAGGAGAAAGTGTATTTATTTCCCTGCCGATGTGGTGGCTATTACGTACTTTCTGAACTAGACTCTCAGCTCCATTTCGATATCGTCTGCTGCGAAACGTGTTCTTTAACTATCAAAGTACTCTATAAAAGTGCTTATTCAGAATTTGAACTACAGAAAGGGAAGCCTGTAAACATCCAGAAAAATTAATATGAAGCAATAATGCAATATACAAAGTCACTGAAATATTTACTGCCGCTCTTGAAATAGATGTAAAAGAAATAAGTAGAGATCAAAGGACACTAGAAATAAAATTAAAATTGGAAAACTGTAGCAAGACCTTGAGGGTTTAAATCACTCCCTCTAACTGATGGTGGCACTTTGCTGAAGAACAAATGTAATTTGTCCCGGCTGTTATTTTTGCCAGTGATCATTTTTACTGTACACTCAGATAACTACAAAGATGCCACAGAACATGTATGGGTGATCACGACACAGTGAGAAGCTGTCTGTTAAAACAGCTATCCTCTAAAGTGAATATTAGCCTTAATATCAACCTGATATTCTGTAATGACTAGTATGACAAGGTTGGTGGTTAACAACGAATCTATGACACTAACACAATTGCATGTCATGGAAATAAAGCATGGTGAAGCACATCTATGCTATTTTCAAAGCAAAGATAGGAGATATTATAACCAACTCCTCATGGGAACAATTAGTAGAAGTACCTTGGTCGGCTCTGTGGCTAAGTCGATGCGAACACCTCATAATGCCGGGATGCCAGGTTCGATCCCAGCTGCGGGTCATGCACCTTGCGTTGGCTTTGACAGTGGTATCAAAAAAGCCGACCGCCCAGAAAGGAGTGGCAAACTACTGGACGTAAATTTGCTTAGAAAAACCACACAACAGCCAGGGGCTGTTGAGGTTGTTTCTGCAACGTCCTGTAAAGGATACGCAACTAACCAATTACCTTGGAGTGGCTGCTGCATCGGAGAACTAGCACAGATGGAAATGCCCATTGTGCAGTGACGCCAATTGTGATAACATAACATGTGATGACTGGTCCAACTGCTCTTGACTTCTTTGAGCTAAAAATTAGTTTATTTAATTCTATGTAATTAGCCGATATTGCCTTGTAAGAGCTGTGTTAAACTGTATTCTTTGCAGCCCACCTTTAACTGTACGGTGAAAATTCCATATTTTTTCTCTCACTGTGAGAATCACTTTTTTGCTTGAACCATGTCGATAAGTAATTACATAATGGAAAAATATTTGGTTTACTGTCACATTTATTTTTATCGCTGGAGCAGAAGAACTGTGCCTGTACGAAGGCAGCATAAGGAGACTTGAGTCAAATGGCTGTAATCTGGTCTTCTTCTTCTTCTTCTGCCTTTCTGTCCCCCAGTGGTGCATAGGCCCTCAACCAACTCACGCCAAGTCATTCTATCCTTCGCCATTGCATGAAGCTCTCCCCATCTTTCTAACTTCATTCTCCAGCTCTCTTCTCCGTGTTTTTTTGGCCTTCCTCAATTCCTATGCCCCTGTAGGTTCCAATGCAAAGACATTCTAGTTATGCTGTAATCTGGTGCCATGAAGTTAATCCATGCAGCTTGTTTAAAACTGTCTCATAAGACTTGCTTTAGTTTTGTGTGTCAACATTGGGTTGAATGCGGTGAGTCAGTAGGAGCACCTTTAAGATGTGCTAGGGAATAACAAAGGATGAGGTGAAATCTATCCCTCCAAGGTTCATAGCTCCCACTTCCATCAAGCTTGCCCTGGACCATTTTCTATTTACATTTTGACACTGAAAGATCAGCCGATGCTTATGATGATGGTAAAGTAAAGGATCCTTTTCTGTGCCTTTAGGCATGTAGGGCTAGTCCTATATTTTATAGACCAGTCGGCACTTGGTGGGAGATGTAGTACACATCACGCTGGCTGCCTTTACTTCCCAAGATTGCACATGGTACCCATTTAAGGCTGGATTGAACTGGAAGCCATGATTATTTTGAAGAAAAAAAAGTCCCTCTTCGCCAGGACCTGAACCTATGACCTTTCAGTCTGCAAGCAAGCGTCCAGCTACTACACCATGGCGGTTCCCTGTGATGATAGTAGGCAATTAAAACTGAAGCCTTGGGTTCATGCTAAAAAACCAGCAGATTGTAAATTACTGGTATTTGAGCGTCACTTTTGCAGGGAGCCTTGGAATCTTAACACAGCAAGGAATCCAGATTGTTTGGATAAGAGAGAGAGAGAGAGAATAATTGTAAAAGTTGGATCCCAGATTGTGTGGATAGAGAGTGAGAATAATTGTAAAAAAAAAAAAAAAATGACAATCATGTGTGTTCCGGGTCCCCATCGGGGGGAAAGGGGGCTCGCTAGTTCCCTAACAAGCATGTCGTAAGAGTTGACTAATTAAGAATTTCTTTCAAAGTCAGAGTGCATCTGGCTGTTTAGTAAGGGACAGTCTGCCTGCAGATAAGCCAAATATGTCAAATAGATGTGTACGCAAACTCAGGTTCTGGATCAAGACTAAAGTCCAGAAGTAGACGAACAACCAGAGCTTTCTGCCAGAGTTGATAGCTGATGAACGTGAAGAAGAAGTAGGCTGATAGATTGGCTGCTGCCATTTCTTCAGATGGTAAGCTACTTTATTAGGTAAATATGGTGAAGCTCTGATTTCAAGTGGAGAATCCATAAGAATTTTTAATCAGGTTATCACTGGCACCAGTTACATGGGAATTCTTATTGTCACTGGCACCAGTTACATGGGAATTCTTATTGTCACTGGCACCAGTTACATGGGAATTCTTATTGTCACTGGCACCAGTTACATGGGAATTCTTATTGTCATTGGCACCAGTTACATAGGAATTCTTAATGTCACTGGCACCAGTTACATGGGAATTCTTATTGTCACTGGCACCAGTTAAGTGGAGATTCTTATTGTCACTGGCACCACTTACATAGGAATTCTTAATGTCACTGGCACCAGTTACATGAGAATTTTTATTTGGCTAGTGAAGAAGGGGTCAGGGCATGTGTGAGAGTGTCACAATGGTATTGATGTCAGTTCTTGATTCAAACAAATATATATTTTAATGTTTGTGTATATGTTATAAAGGCTCCTTACTTCGTATGTCTTTTTCAGTTGTCCGTGACTGAAAACTGTGTCAAATAAACTTGTTATTGCATATCATTTATACAGAACATTATTTGCGCCTGCTTTTTTTGTTATCATTGTTGTTTTGAACAGAAAGAGGTGAGTTTAAAAAAAAAATTAAATTGTTCAAACAAAGAAAGAGAGGTGGTTTTCTTGACAAAATAAGAAATAGACGAGGGGTGGTATTTTTTGGACAAAATGAGAGGAATTGTTTGGACAGGGGGAGAGAGCTGTGAAAGGTATTTTATTTTTAACAAAGTTGGAGAGAGAGGTAAAGAGTAGTTATTTTGGACAAAGAAGAGAAGAGATGAAAAGTGAGAAGTAGGTATTTTGAACAAACAGAAAGAAAGAGAGGTTTATCAACAAGATAAAAATGAACCAAATATAGCTTTGTAAATTTTATTCAAGTGTGTAGCAAACAGAACAAAGTAACAACAGAGGTGTCAGTGGTAACAACAAAAGTATAACGTGGCAGTCTTCATGTTGTAGTTTTAAAAAATACTCTCTTGTTAGCAACAGTGTTTAGACCAGTGAATCAACAGTCACCTTAGACTCTGACTGCCTGATCACACATGGTCCAGTTGTTCTTGTAGAGAAGATTGTCAGATCGCAACTACTCAAGCATCATTCATTCATTCATTCATTCAGTAGCATGTCCCTCGCGGAACCTCGCTGCCATAACAACCCTCCGGAAAACCTTCCTATCCTGAGCAAGATGTCCTGCGTCTGATACACCCATCTGGAGATCATCTGCCACATCCTGCACCCATCTTCTCCTTGGCCTTCCTCTTCCTCTCTTCCCAGGCATATACCCCTCCATTATTGTTCTCTCTAGACTACTCAAGCATCAGCACACTCATATGACATGGCACTAACCTGGTTAATTACTTGTCTTGCCTTCCCTGCAAATGGTGTCCAGAGTCAGCAAACGCTCCACGCTGCATTGTTCTCTCCAAGGTATAGTAAAGTAAAGGTCCGTTTTCCACGCCTTGAGGCATATGGGGCTAAACCTATATTTTTTGTAGACCAGTCGGCCCAAGATGGGTGATGTGGTCAGCATCATGCCGGCCGCCTTTACTTCCCTGGACAGTACCCGGTACCCACTTAAGGCTGGGTTGACCTGGAAGCCAAGGTCATTTTTAAAAAAAAAAGTCAGGCTTTGCCAGGGATCGAACCCATGACCTTCCGAGCCACGGCGAGCATCTACTCTCTCCAGGGTATGGGTTTTCATAATCTTCCATTTTACATGTTACCTCATCACACAGATCACCTCTGCCTTGTACAGTTGCACCACTCCCACTTCCTCCAGTGGAGACAGTCCAACCAACCTGTCTGCCTGCTCATTTACAAACATGTCTGCATGTGACCCTAACAACCTGTGACCTCTGGATTGATGCGACCAATTCTGTACAAAGAAACCTGATTCTACCTTTGTGAGCATGCTTTGTGAATACATCTGTGGCTGAGATGAGATTTTATCTGCACATTGGAATACCACTGTTACCGCCTCATCCTATATTTTCATCCTGTATTCCAGATTCTGCTTAGTCCTCCCCCCCCCCCCCCCCCCACCCCAGTGACTTTGCAGAGAAGCTTCATCCACTCTTTCTGCCCCTGGCCACTGACCAGTCTTTGTATATAGTCACATCTTCTTTGATAGATTTGTGATCTATCAGCTGTTGAACTTCTACATTTGCACACCCTGCCGCCCATTCACTACTTTTCTGTCCCACAGTAATTACCACTTTGTGCAGCTTTTCTCTGCCATCCACTACTTTTAACCCCTTCTCTCTTCGGCTAATATCTTGAATGTTGCAGACCCCGTTGATTGTCTTTTGATCCTGAGCCTTCCAGAATGTGCCCCTATTTAGTCTGTCACCCTTCACAGTGTCAAGTTCATGTGCAGGTATGTTCCATACCACTTTCCTTTCTAAACTAGTACCCAGCCTGCAGTATACCATGTCTGTACACAATGGTCGACACAGCCAGGATATGTCTCACACACACAACTGGTTGTTTCATATGCATTTCAAAAAAACTTTGC